TTTTGGTATGTTTGACGAAATGTCACAAAATTATTGATTATTTTTGACATTTCGCCTGTTTTTTGATTTTTTATTTAGATAGCAGAGCATTTGACAAGCTTTAAGGCGTTTATTTAATGAATAGGTCACTTTTTTTATCTTGACGAAATGTCACAAAATTATTGGTTATTTTTGACATTTCGTCTTTTTCCAAAAACTTCCCTATTTAAGCAAGAAATGGCACGTATTGTGCTTCAAAATCGATTATGACGGGAGTTTGCACGTTTTTAGACGAGAATTTTCAAAGGTTCGTAGCAGATTCAAAGAGATTTACCGGAAAATTCACTTTTTCTTTAGCCGCTCTACATTTCTCACAGTCTCTTGCCTGAAAAGCCCTCAAATGTCGATACAAATTGTTGGCCTATCTGCAAGCACCTTATCTCGCCATTTTTGTATGTCTGCCTAATATTTTTTGCTATTTGTTTGCGTTTTTTATCAAGCCCTTGACCAAAAGCCCCGGCCTTATTTGCTTATAATACTATTGCATGACCATAATCCCGCCGCATCTAGCAAGATAAGGCTATTAGCGAGTGATTTGCTTTTTCCCATTTATTATGACGTTTCGGCTCCGTGTGACAGCGATCTGCCCTTCCAAAATTTTGTTTTCCGTCCGCAAAAAATGGGGAAAAAGTAATCCGATTGTGGAATCACCTCTCGTTTTATAACTGCAACCGTGATCTTTATGGTAATCGGCGCATTCCACGCATTTTTTGACAAATTTCGATAAACAGTGCTGTAAAAAAGTGACGATTTTGGCGATAAGAATACCGTAGGGTTTTTATTTTGAGCAATTTTTTGTTTTTATTTCCCCCGATGACTAAGGAATCGTAAAAATTTAGAACTGGTTTCTTTGTACTCAAGCGTCAATATGGAAGTCGGAAATGACATCACTACAGTTGAGAAGAGTCCATAGAGAACATATTTTTGGGGGTCTCTGCTGGAGCCACTTGTCCGTAAAGGTCAGTGAATATCTCGGCTGTTATTGCTAAGTTTGAGTTAAGGTTTCAAATTCTGGGTTAGTGGGTTGTTCTTATGCTAAAATTTGAGAACTTTCCGATAGTCTCTTTTATGAAAAATATATTTTTTTTCTGTTTTTTGATTGCTTAAAATTAAATTTTTTATAAATTTTTGACTTAATTGACTTTCCAAATTTATGTGTCGAAGATGACATCATTTTTTCGATCTTTTATTTTTTAATTTTATTTTTTTTTTATTTTCAACTAAATTTTCACTTCACATTTATGCGTCAAACTAAATATGTATATCGTAATTATTATAACATTCCTTTCTCGACAGTCCTTAACAAAATTCCTCTTATAAACTAGCTCATGATCTAGCCAATCGCTCACTCACACTCTCCTGACTCATCCACGTTGACACCAATTACGGTAGAAAAAATTGATTGATCAATAAGTTACGATGGCGTTCGCGCAGTGTAACATTTTGAATCAGAAAGTAATTAAGGAGTAAAATGATTTCATCTGACCGTCGAGAATTTGACGCTTCACTGCGATTACCTGTTAACACTAATTAAATTAAAGTTGTGACCGCAGGTTGAAAATCGTCAAGGCCGGATGATGTCACTATTGAAGAATAGGATACAAAGTAGAGATTTTGTTTGAAAACACACGACAAACCCATTTTCAGACTTTTTTGCGATTAAATTTCGAGATTTTTTGAAATTGAAAATTTTGGACGAAATGTCACAAAAACTATTGGCTTTTTTTTAATGGCCAAAAAATTTATTATTTGACAACGGCAGAGTGAAAAAATCAATTTTCTCTATATTTTTTTGAAAAAGAAAAATCCAATATTTTTTTTGACATTTCGTCAATTTTTTTTACCTTTTAGATATGACTTTTTTGGTGCGCTAGGTTCTTAATACCGCCTTTTGAGGCGTTGCCAAAACGATTTTTTGGTATTTTTATAACTGTTTAGAACAGTTACAGTCGAAAAAAGGAAATAAATTTTCGCCAAAATTTTCAATCGGATTATCTGCCCAATTTTTCATGGGGCTGGAATTAAGTTTCAGATTCGAATGACAACAAAAGCCCATAAGCGGCTTTAATCAGCCTTTTCGAACCCAAAACGATGAGCGAGACCGCTTGTGCAGTTGGACTTAGGTGTCAATTTTATTTTGATTTCCTTGGCCCATTCTTTTCAAACACAATACAATATCTGTACTTTGTGAGTTGCTCTGAACATTTGTTTGCCCTGCACTAGCGTGCTCTTAATCCAATCGGCGAGCGATCTTTCGTCCATTTTTTTCGTATTCCCCATATTATCCTTCTTAGGAACCGTAACCCGATTAGCGAGTATGTTTGCAGAGCAAGCTTCATAACTGATGTCATTGCGGTGTGTTTGCCTTGGGAACATTGTGCGTTCGCATGTGCTCTGATTTGGCGTGTAAAGAGCGGCGGGACGAGAGATTTTTGAAACTTCCAAATTTGGAGAGTTCTCTGAACCGTGTTGGGTACAACTTTTGAAACGCTCATTGTTATTAAGTGGTGTGGATTGTCACGTCGCAAATGCAAAAAATAAAGGTTGGACAACCGTTTTACCGTAAATTATAAAGAAGTTTCAAAAAAAAAACCAAAAAAAAAAAAAATACAAAAAAGAAAAAAAAAACAAAAATTTATAAAACCTCCCGCATATACCTTCAAAAATTCCAACCTAAACTTACCATAACTCTTATGACGGCGTTTCAAAATTCCCAACTCGTACTATAGACCATGCTGCCCTTACAATTCCATTAAAAACGCCGTGCTTTTTTCTTCATTTCCGTTTGTAAACGTTATTAATTGCTTAGCCTTTCGTAATCCATATGCTGTAATAGTTTTTTGTTAGGAACGTGACATAATAATGAATGAAATCCGAAGATTCTGGATGATAAGGGAGAGTCATCGAACGATTTTTTTTTTGAGACAGAGAGTGGGAGGTGTTGCGGATATTATTTTTTTTTAAAATGAAATTTTTGGTCTTTGGGCTTTTCATTTTTTTTATTTTTGTTGTTTCTGCATAACGCGGTTTAAGAAATTTTCCGTTTTTTTAAATTCATTGTTTTTATTTTTATTGGCAGTTTTCGAATTTTCAAATTAATTTTTTTTATTTTTGTAGTTTCTGCATAGCGCGATTTTTGTTTTTTTTCAAAAAATCCGTGTTTTTTCCCTTTTATCTGCAAAAATTTGCTCTCCAAAATTACATCATTTTTACGACCCAAAGATTTACATTCTTGACCTTCCACCAAAGGTCCAACGCCCAAAACAAAACAACCAAAAATGCGGTAGTGTAAGAATGGATGTCTTTGACAACCGGATCAGCTGCATGGTCTGATCGGGTCCCAAGCTCCGCCCGCGGATATTTTCGAATATCCGGGGATGTTTTCGCGTCTTAAGATGATTTCATAACGTGTTTACTCGCCGGCGGAAAAGCGGTGATGCTATTAATAAGTCGGGGGGTGTTCGGGATCTTTGCGATACTGCCTTGCATTTATAGTAATCCCCATCGGGCTGTTTTTCATTTCAGTTCTATCGGAAGTCTTCTATTTTGAAACGGCGATCGTGATTTTTAGAAAAAGTCTATAAAATTTGTCATTATGACAATTTTTTTTCTTTTTCAAAAGTTAGCATTTTCTACATTACAATTCTGTGTGTATTTTTAAATGTTTTCCTATCAAATCTTAAGCGATTTTTTATGTGAATTTTGACTTTTTTTAGGTCGGCCTGATACTTTATCAGGCCGAATACAAACTCATTTTGTTCTCCGATTCCTCCCCACCCAACCCTCATTTTTCAACGTTATCATATTATTTCGGCTCAATTACCCTCACGCACGCCGCTCAGCCGCCTAATCCTGCCTATCACAAAAGCGTTTAATCCAATTAAAGGTTCGGTTTCGAACACTTTAAAAGCGAAACTCCCGAACAGTTCGCGTGGTCGACTACTTGGAATCGGACCGGTCGTTACACTGCTGCCATCCGAGGGATACTGTCTGCCCATCCTTTCCATCAACATCGACTCGTTTTGATGTCAATTTTTAGGGCGGTTACTGGCTAGGTGAACATGATGGGTCTATTTTTGGAACAGCGGGATAACGAAAGGGAGAAGGGGTGATTGGAAAACAAAGTTGACGTCACTTCGGCTCCAAAAGTTCAGTTTTCAGCTTTTGCTGTAAAATTTTTTGTATTTTTTTCTTTTGCGAAATTTTTGCGCAGTTAACGGGAAGTCTAATGTCTTTTGAGATTTTTCTTTGCAAACACCACACCTAATTCTTGATTAGAAGATGTTTTCAAAGGAATGGTGGATGTTTTTACATGTGATTTTTCCTATATTATATGATGTAGTCAATTTTTTATGCGGAAATTTGGAAGGCATCCATTTACATATATCTTACATTTTTTCGTATAAAATGTCACCCCAAGCACAAAAGTGATATTCCCACAGAAGAAGATGTTATACAGGCTTTAATAATTACTTTAAACTTAATTTTAATATGTTGATTTTGGTGTTCTTATTTTATTTTATATAATTTCCCCCATTTTTCCACATATTTTCCCTGTAAATCACTAAATTCTCCATTTTCTTTTCCAAATATCACTTTTAAAAGCAGATGAAGTCACTTTTTGGACTGACGTGATCCTCCTTCACCTCGATTCTGTAAAGCGTGTCGCGTTGCGCGCGGCGCAGATTGATTAAGATAACCCAAACAACGCCCCAACTTGACGTCATTTTCTAGCTCTGAAAACGCACTAATTTCGGAGTGCAATTGTAGCGAATCCTCGGTTTTTCTCGCCACAAACAAAGCGAGTTTTGTACGCGTTTTATCGTGTTTTTCAAATATTTTATATCATGTAGTTACATTGAAAAGAATACAACTTTCAGACTTTCGCTACCGCTTCTTCTTCTCGCGCTTCTTTTGGCTTATTGTACCGACGGTTTTCTCGCCAAGATTCGTTCAATTCAATGTCAAAGCCTCCCGTGTCCCATGATGTGCAAGGTGAGTACAATTTGATATCAGAATTTGTATGAGGCGTAAATAATGGGGTTAAGTGAGCAAGAAATTGGGAAAGCTTTCGGAAGCGGGCTAGATCAATGGGAATAACGCCATTTTTAGCCTGTGGAATGTCTGAAAAACTGTTTTCTTCCTTATTCTGATCAAAGAAAAAATTTATTTTCAAGTTTTTATCAGTCTGTCAGGAAAATAATGAGCACAATGTCGCATCGAAAATCCCATCGCCGCCGAGAAAAAAATAGTGTCGCGATAAAATCAAATTGTTTTTTTTCACTTGAGCGGCGCAATCGGCGTAGCGACATTGTGCTCATTATTTTCCCGACAGACATATAAATAGTCATAGCCATAGCCGGACTTAAACCTAGGACCTTTAAATTTCTAGTCTACACTTCTACCGGCTGCGCTATAAGAACTTCTTTGAAAGAAGTTCTGATATGCCATTACTCTGGAAAAATTTGATTTTTTCTCAAAGTTACAGTAACCCAATCGTCTTTTTGTCAACTAATAAAACGTTCAGAATCCTCAGAGCAATATCTCAGCCAAATTTTTTGTTCTCTATCTTCCGCTCAACGTCTCATACAGCATTTGTTTGCGCTAAACCGTTAAGTCAGAGGTTCGTAAAACTTGCCGAATGTTTCTGACTGTTTCTTTGCTCAAGCTTAACGCCGCAAAAACTGAAGGTATTAACCGGGGAATCCGCCTTATCTCTTCTTTAACACAGCCCTATTGTGTCCAGAAATAGCTGCGTTTTATCAGTCCATGTAATACCAAAATAATATAATCGTTGAGGCCTGGAAATTCCAATTCCAACATCTCCGAATACCGGAGATATTTGCGCCACGTGAATTGCACCGAAGCAAGCAATTTATGAATCAGCGAATTTAATTTTGGAAGTGTGATTTCATCGGGGCCCGAAAAATCCGCGGAATTCGCGAAATTTCATCACGGGTAATCCGGCGAAGCGTGACAGGAATGCGAGCGGAAACACTTGGCCGCCTGTTGACAACAACATAGCACAACATAACAGCACTGCAAGCGGAGAGTATTATTTTGGAATTAGGGGGTTCCGGCAGTTTCCGCACATCTGACTCCTAAGACGCTTATTTCCCCGTATTCCGAGTGATATCATCACTCGTCGCGGTAAGAGCGATAATTTTTGGGCACACGCAGGATTGCGTGTCCTCATTACCGCTATGAAGAGGGTTGCTGCGGGCCCGGCACACCGAAAATACGGCAGATTCGAACATTGTAATTGAGACGGCATTTCGTGAAGGGTTTATTTGGAGATTGGGGAAGTCAATGTGAATAAAAAAAGAAGTTTTTTATCATAATGCTACAGTAGGAAGCATGACATAGTGTGATTTTTTTGAGCTGACGTTTAGTTTACATATTGGACGAAATGTCACAAATTTTTTGGGGAAAATTTGTTGCAACAGTGATGTTTTTGACTCAGAAAATTGATTTACAACTCATGAAAATATTTTTTTTCAATTTGTTAGAGCTTCGGAAATTTTGACGAAATGTCACAAATTTTATTGGAAAAAATTTGTTGCAACAGTGGTCTTTTTTAATCAAAAAAATGGTTTGAAACTCAATAGATTTTTTTCTTTTGAATTTGGTGGCGTTTTGACATTGTTGACGAAATGTCACAAGCTTTATTGGAAAACTTTTTTGAGCCCTATATCATCCGGAAATAGATAGAGTTTACCTGAGAAAAGCCATACTGTATTACACAGTATTTCTCGTCCTTTTATCGATGAAGAGAACACTTCAAAATACCACAAAATAACCTTGAATTTGACGTTTTGTTATTTTCCCGACTTCCCGAAACCCCATCCCCTCTCAATGTCATCCTACAGGTCTATTGTTTTGTTTTTCGGTGTCGTGTACAATATTCAATTTCATATTCGAACCTTTTCTTCCTTTCCCCAAATTTGTTTGAGTCAATCTCGAGTGGGCGTGGCCTTTCCCCGGGGACTTTTTTCTATAAAAATAAATTTTTTTTTATTCTGTCCATTCCCCTTGATGCTGTCATGTATTATATTAACATCAACAACAATGTTTCCGTTCATTCCATTGTTTTGGTTCCGCCGGGACATCTTTTGATGTTTTTCGAGGGATTCTCAATTGAATGACGGTGTTTTGGCCCTCTGAAAATACTTGTTTTGGCTGTATTCTTCCTTCCCGGTTATCAGTGCGGTGATTTCCGGCAATGACGTTTCCCGATTTAGTTTGTAAACCCATTAGTCGCAAGATTTCTCAGGTTTTCACTTCATTTCCGAGATTTTTCGCCAGATTACGTCCGCGCGTTTGCGTCGCTTTATCTGCAAGTTACCACGCATAGCTTGCGAACCAGTTATGTCAAATTTTAGCCCAGCTCTAAGCCGCGTACATTTGCCGTGTTCGGAATTCCGAATCTCTCCGCTAGAACGTCACTTCCCCAACTCCCCAGAAAAACGTTGAGGAATTAGCCGCACAAATCCCGAAATCTCTTCCGCGCCAAACCTAATCCCCCAATAGGAATGATTACAAGCCATCCATCCTCTCCTCCTCGACAGTGGCGGAGGATTTGCAATTACGTGTCCCATTCTAAACAGCGCAGAGAGGAGGCTGCTGCCGCCGACGTTTATGCGAATAAACAGGCCCCGAGGGACATGGGAGAAAGTGATGTCGTTTTTATTACACTGACAAGTGTAGAGAGAAGGGGAAGCGGAGTCGGGATGGGGGCACGTGTGGCGTTAGTTTGTACCTGCACAACAGCAATTGCGTCGCGGTTAATTGACGGGGTATAGAGATGTTGTGTTGGGGTTTTGATCTATGAATTTGCTATTTTTGATTATTGTATTTAGTCGTTTGAGACTTTACTTTGCGGAAAAATACATCGGAATTTAGTTACTTTGGCTTTTTTCAATACAGTTTCCCCCATATCTACAAAAAACAAAATTTTTTTGCCATTATTTTTACATTCTTCACAGTTTTAAGCGAAATTATTATGACATCACTCCGGATGTTGACTCGCTCTTTCTTTCCACGGTTTGCTCTATTCTTGGAAAGAGCGGACATAGGTCGGCAGCACCTCAAATATCCCAAAATATATATTTTTTTCTCAAGATTTCCAAAATTTTTAGCTTATTCCTTTATATTCTCTCTAAAAATCGCATTTTGCCCTCAATTCCAGCGACTATCTAAACCCCCATCGCCCTGCTTATTCCCTGCCCAATTAACACCTCACACATTAGGTCACCACCTCTCCGGTGCACTGAAAGCCATAAATTTGCGGGGAGTTTCCGAGTGTCGCGCGAGACTCACAAACCGCCTCAAACTGGGCGATTATCTTAATCTTCCGCGGCGGCGGGGGTCGGCGCATTTCGCAGATTATGATAAGCATCCACTATATAATGATGCAGTAGTTAGGATGCAGGCAGTGCGCCTCTGGCGCACTTATGTTTCTGGGTAGTTCAAGCTGTTCTTATTTTTGATGACTTTTGGAACGTATGGTTCACAAGTTGGAGGTGATATGGGAAAAGTGGGGTCGTAGGGTGGGATTTGATGAATGTCTAACTCTTATGGGCTTGTTATGGGATGTTAGAGGCTCTAAAAAATGACTCATATTATTATTATACATGTCATTCGAGCTTGTTATTTTTATAATTTTTGCCAAAAACAAGCGGTAATTCTGAAAAAAAACATATTTTTTTTGTCTATTATTACCAAATTCAAGTCTATTATTTTTATAAAATTTTTACACCACTATTTTCATTTTTTTCTTAATTCTTCAAAAGATTTCCAACCAAAATTCGACCCAGATCGCCCGGCAATCTCAACTCACAAGTGTTTGATAAGATCTTGAGAACTTTTTAAAAACTTAATGAGTCCGCAAAATCTTTATCCTTAGCCCCAAACCCAATCCCTTCACAGAATCCAGCCCAAAAAGGATTTCGGATAAAGATTCCTCAAAATCTGGGTGGTTCAAGTGTGATTGAAATCAAAATCTCAAGATCTGTTTTTGTGGGCGGAAATCTTTTCCTCAACATTTTACCGGGTACCCCAGCTTTATAAACAATGGAATTCCTAGGATTCCTGTCGTTAACTTTGACGTTAAATCTTCAATCTTAACCAGTCTACTAAACTACAAGCCTAATTTTGAATGCTTTCAGCTTCCTCATCAACAATGAAGCGGGTACTAAATTCGACGGCCTCAACGGCCTCGCTCAGCTCTTTGAACTCCTCCAATCTGAATGTCACATTGCCCGGCGAGCATGTGCTTCTCTCGGACGGGTCGGTGGAGTCCTCGTCCTCGCCCACATCAACACATTCGCCGCACATTCGGCTACAGATCGACGACGAGCAGGAATCAAGGAAAAAGCCGTCGTTAAAAGAGACCAAATCAAGATGGACAACAATTGATGCCACAAATCAAAGACTCCGGTAAGCGGCCTTTGAATTTTGCACTGTTTATTGTCATCTTGCTATGTGTTTTTGGAAATAGCACAAACTTGCCTCAGGCACTTAAAATTAAGAGTTTCTCCCCAAGAAAAAAAACGCACGAACTTTCTGGACATCCCAACATTTTTCGATTTTCTTACTAAAAATCAACTTTTTTCAGTGCCTGGTTGGACGTTGCCGGTGGCTCTTGGTCATTCAGCCGCTCCGCCTCCACAGATCGGCCGCTCGAGCCCCGAGCGGCCCAAACCCCGCAGCAGCCGCTCTACGACGTCTTCCTGGGCGGCTCGTGCGGCAACACCGTCTGGCGACGCGAGATTGTGATCCCGTACCTGAAAAAGCGCGCCATCACCTACTACGACCCGCAGCGGCCGGTGTGGAACGAGAACATGATCCATGAGGAGCAGATTGCCAAGGAGAACTCGCGATTATTTCTGTTCGTGCTCGATCCGGGCACAATCAACGCCACCTCGTTCATTGAGATCGCGTATTTCGCGGCGCGCAAGGCTCCCAAATTGGTGGTTGTGTTTTTGGGACGAAGAGAGTGGAGTGACAAAGCGCATCCCATGGATCTGCCGGACCGGATCCGGACCGTGAACTTGGTGGAGGCAATATTGAAAAGGCACAGTGTCCCAATGCTGACGTCGATTACGGTAAGAACATGGGATTTTCGGGTTGAAAAATGGAAAGGGATGGGTAAAATACGTATTTTCAATCACTCTTCTCTTAAATTGAGCTAGAGCTGAGCAATTTTTTGATAGAAAAATTACAGTTTTTGCAAGTTTTATCCTGTTCTCGCCATCTCTCAAGTTCCCCTCTAAAACGGCTAAATTTTTATCAAAATCTAGGCGCTAGAATCTCCATAAATCCTTCAAAATGAACCACCGCCGATCCGATTTTATCTGGCGCCGATTTTCAGGATGCCCTCAACTACGTGGACGAGATGATAATCGGCGAGAAGTCGTGGCGGAATGCCCTCTCCAACCCGCTGCAACGTCTGCCCTACATCCAAGTCAAAGCCAAGCATGCCATCCAGCAGACGGCCAGCCAGTTGCGGCAAACCGTCGAGTCGGTCCAGTCGTCGGCCACCATCTGGACGCGGAGGATTGCGCTGGTCGCGGTCCTCGAAGTCGTCCTGATCCTCGCGGCCCATCTTTTCGTTTTTCCGCAAATTCCGCTCTGGTTCATGATCGTTCCGATGGTCGCGTTCGACTATTTGGGACTGGCTGGACTGGTCCTCTACTTGAAACTCAAAGTAAGCGGAAATTTTGGTTGTTACGCAAGTTTTTTGAAATTTAAAAGTTTCGCATTTTTTTGCTAAAAACCCAGTAATTCTAAATTCGGGAGTCGTAAAAACATTTTGTTATGAGTTTTCCCCTCCAAATTCCCACAAAATAATTTTTGTTTTTTCTCCTGGTGACGTCTCAGCCTTCGTCATTTCATATTCACTTTTAATCAAGGTTATTGAAAGAAACGGCCGAAAAACGCTCCCCCTTTCACCAAAATTTATAAATATTTCACCGAGTTTGAAAACACAAAACCTCGTCATGATACGTTCACGTCGATCCTTTTGCAGATGAATCGAAAGCGCGCCCAATACAAGCGGAAGTTGGTCATCAATCCGCCCAGCCTGCCGAGGACGGCGCCTTCGTCCATCACGGCTGTCTCATCGGATTTGTCTTCGTCCTCCTCACAATCCATCGATGTGGGACCAATTCAGGGGGAAATGATGAGTTGTAAGTGGTTTTCTGGCGATTTCACAGATAAAAAATATTTTTTTTTCTTTAAAAATGTTGTATCAATTTTGCCCCAGATTAACTCACAATTTGCCTTTCAGTAAAAACCGTCCAGCCCAACCAACCCAGACAGTCCGATGTTTCGTTCTACAACTCCATGGACATGGTGGATCAAGAGGTCCGGCAGCATTATCAAGTTGAGAAGCCAAAGAAATTGAAGGTTGATAGGAAAGAACGCATGAAAAAGAATGGATGTATGACGTCACCAGTTGGCTATGATGTCTTTTTGAGTTGTTCATCAGGCTCGGAATTGGACTGGATCACCCAAAAAGCCGTGCCACAGCTTCAGTAAGTTTTGACATTTCGTTATCGATTGTTTGACGAAGTGTCACAAATTCTTATTTCATTCAGAAAAAGCATGAAAATAGTTTTAACATACGCAAGGCATCTTGGATTCCTAAATTCTAAATTTTTCTTAAGTTTTTTCATTGAATATAAGCTAAAAATTAAACTTTTCTCTCAAAAATCCCCAAAATTTGTCTAATTTCTCTCTTTTTTCAGCAAATCTTCACTCTCCTACACCTCAGCAATCATGTGCGACAAAGAGATGAGGATTCCACTTCTTCACACCGCCTCCCACATCTTGTATTACATCCCATCATATCGGACTTTCCTCTCCGGTATGATTGAGATCGCCTATTTCATCGGGCACTCGGATTGGCAAGTTACCGTGTGTGTCCCAACTGAAGCCGAATGTCTCGTTCTGCTGAACGAGAACGACTACGATGATGAGACCAGAAAAGCGGTGGAACGTCGAAATGAGTGTTATCAGATGGCGTTCAGATATCTGAAGGATATGGCTCATCGACGGGAATGCCGGGTGTTTACCAAGTAAGTAATCAATTTTTAGCGCTTTCAAAACCTTTAAAATTACTTCCAAAGTTTAAAATAAATTTTACAGATTTTTGGAGGTCTCTAAAGTTTGTTGACAAAATGTCACAAACTTTATTGGATTTTTTTCCTTTTGACATTTAGCCTTAAAAACTGAAATAATAGAAGTACTTTGCTTCTTAACGGCATTACTATGCCTTTTAAAGGATTACGTTATCTATTCTAGTGACAAATTTGCTCTAAATTTACATCTTCGAGCGGGTATTAAAGTGGGATTAGTCAAGGATTTCGGATGTTTAACGACGGATGAAAATGTTGTTTCAGTGAATTCTTTATGACGAAACTGCAAAGTTATTAGAAAGTCCTTTTTCGAAACAAAAAAGATGAAATTGGCAGTTTTGACGAAATGTCACAAAATTTATTGGAAAATTTAATTTTCTCCGAAACTTTATGAGATTGAATGTTTTGACTAATTTCACCATTTCCAGTGTGGAAGAAGCTGTCAAACACATCGCAGCGGTCTCTCAGCTCGAACGTCGACAACAACAACAACAATCGGAGCCGACCAAAAAACGTGCCGTTCTCCGAAACTTGATGGAAAAACAACACTTGGTGAAGGAGAAAACCCAAGCCAATCTGCTCGCCCACCGTTCAGCAGTGATTGCGGCAGCTACAGCGGCCGCAAATGCATCGCCAAAGAAGAAAACATAGAGCCTTTCCACTTTCGTAGGCAATTTCTTCTCGTTTCGATGATTTTCGTCGTGTTTTTCTACCGCATGGTACAATTTGTGGGCTGTTCTAAGTCCAGTGCATTTTACGTAGTATTATCTTAATTTCTTGGGGTTCTATTTGCGATTTTTTGTGGGAATTTTTTGAAATTTTTTGAACAATTTTTTTGAATTTTTTCAAAAATTTTTTTCTGAGAATTTTAAAAAAATCCCCAAAAATGTCATCAGAACTACCTTCACAATCAAGTCTTATTCTAGGACCCGTTTCAAGTCTCAAAGTGAATCCAGAAATACCTTAAAATATGCAAAGTTTTAATGCTCAACCCTTGTTTAACTGACTTTAGTACAAAGTATTCTCCCGTATTATTGTAGTCTTACATAGTATTGTTTTTTGTGCTCCAACGGGTAGGCCAAAAGTTGTAAAATGACGTTAGAATACAATGTGTTTTGCAATTTCATTGGCAAATGTAAAATCAAGTCTTAAATTTTTACCGAGTAATTTTACATTTTGAAAAAAAATGTTTTTGCAAAAATCATATTTTTTGAAGTTTAAAAATTTGAATTTTTTTTTCAAAGTGTAGAATTACGGTAACCTACATATTGTACAAAGCATATCAGTTCCCATTTTCCTCCGTTTTCACATATAACTTTCGAAGCAATTGTTGTCCCATTTTCTTCAACACCAAAGTTTTTTATTTGTTTTCCATTTCGTTGTTACAATAAAACAGAATTTTATTGAATTCGTTGTATGTGATTTTTAACTTGCATAGATTGAAAAGAGGCTTTGCGACTTCTCGAATCGGCCGTTTGTGGCGTGTCCTAGAATTAGTGAGATCGGAAAATCATGGGGCTGATTTTTGACGTTTTGGCTGTGCATAAAAGTCAGGGTAAGAGCGACGACAGAAAAAAGTGATTTGCCTAGAAATTGCACAATTCATGATGGATCGTGACAATTTGGGAGAAAGACGATTGGGGAAAAATAATTTTTTCGCTTTTTTGGCAAGCTCATGCTTCGTGAGTCTATAAAGTTTCATTCTTTACACGCTAGCTCTGTCGACCTGAAATGCCTTCACTCGATCCACCTAACCTCTGGAACATATGTTTGGTGCCGTTTTAAAAAAAATTCAAAATCTTGGACCTCCTGCTGAGGTTAAGATCGTGGAGCTAATAATAGCGTGGAGGGTTAAAAGTGACTACAAATGGGGCTTCTTTCAAGATAGACTAGCAAAAGTATGGTCTTAACTAGACAAAAACATAAATTTATTCTTCCCAAGTGACGACGTTTCCACATTGTAAAGTAAAAATTTTTTTTATGCACGAAGCTTCATAAACTTAACTTTCCTGAGGAAGTAGTGATCATGCGCCGTATCTTGATAAATTTAGTATATAAGCGTTTAAAAAAGAATTTTGTGAAATATACATATCGCTGATCACCACATTTTTTTGGTTTTTGAGACATCTTTCTCTGCTTGACCTGTAACCCCAGACATTTTTTATTCTAGGCCAAGTCTCAAAATTTGATTGTCAGAAAATAGTTCTTTCTGAAAACCGGAGTAAATTTTATTAGAATTTTATAATTTCATTTGTACAATACTCAACAAAATTTGCGGAATTACACGTTTTCATTTCTAGTTTGATTTGGAAAACACAAAATACGACTATCTACAAAATAGTGCTCTAAAATGTCAACATGACTAAACTTTTCCCCACTTACAAAGTGAAGAATTTCCTAAACATTAAGGTACTTATAAGTATCAGCTATCACAAGGTAAAAATTATATGAAAGAAGACTCAGAATTTGTTCGGAATGTTGCTAACAATGAGAAAGGTCATGGCTAACGATTATCATTAAATAATTAAAAATTGATATTATGCTTTAGTCAGCGAGGAGTTCCTTTTTCTCACCGGCATGCCTTCAGGGAGACTGTCGACGGATTGGTTTGGCATTAAACAGGCTAATACCATCCATTGCAAGGACAGTAATCCCGCGAAAAGCCAATATGGAAGGGTCGGATTCATCGTGCGCAGGAGGATTATCTACAAAATATGACATACACGAACATGTCTTAAAGATAATTTTCAAAAATTTTTAAATGTCTTACCAAAGGTCCACTCATACTCCCCAATCTCGCCGTCACATTACACGCGCCTCTGGCCATATTTCGAACGGCCGTTGGGAATAATTCAACCGAATAGAGATGAATAATCTTCCAAGTGGGATCCATAGAAGCGGTTACCATCAACCCAAGCGCAGTGATTACAATACTGTCTCCAAGGTGGACCATGGAGGTGACTGCGATCAGAATCCAGCAGCAAATACAAGCAGTTCCTAAAAAGATTGAAAATTTTGGGGTATGTCTACAGTGGGGGATCTAATCCAGTGGCAAAAAGCGTATCATTTTGCATCCAGGAAGTATCAAAAAATGTGGCAAAATACCTCCCCTTCAAGTGAAAAAAACCGATTTCAAAGGCGCGCCCGCTCGTGAGGGCCCTTCAAAACAAAGTTTTTTTCACTCGGAAAGTGAGGCATTTTTCCACATTTTTGATACTTCCCGGATGCAAAATTGAACGTTGTTTGCCACTGGATCAGGTCTGTTACTGTACTTACCCACTGACAATAATATGATCACCTTCTTTGGGATGATATAAGAGAAGGCGAAGGGAATTAGGCCCAAGATGAATTTCAGGAGCCCCATTAGTCCCAAATTGGCATACCGATTCCCAGGTAAGTAATCGGCGTTAAAATAGAAGCCAAACGAAACCACTGATGACGACAGAAAACAGTAAAGTAAAGCGAACAAAGGCCGGCGAATTGTCGAGTGTTTGAAGAGATCCAAATAAGTCATTGTTGACTGTTTCTTGGGTTTATTTGTAGTCCCATCTTCGATGGATATTGTCTGCGCAGCGGCAGTTTCAGCTGCCGAAACTTGTTGATCTTCTGCATCAGCATCTCCAGCTGCTGTAAATGTCACAGCAACTTTTTCCTCGGTAATTTCTTTTTTCTGGTCAATGTTATTGTCACAATATTGACATTTACTGCACAGACCAGGTACACTTTCGGCCTTGCGCAGTTTTTGAAGCCGACTACAGGTCGTTCGTGAACCCAATGAGCGGAGACTCCAGTTATGCCAGGATCCGGGGTTGTTTCGCAATTTGATTTGCCGCCGGACACAAGCGGCTTTCACTTCTTCGTTTTGATTGGATAGCCAACCGACCGACTCGAACGATGAGAATTGCTGAAAACGTAGGGTGATTTGGGGAATCGCAAACTTTGGATGTGTGTTTACAGTAGGAGTCCCGATCAAAACCGTACAATTTTGCATCCGGGAAGTATTAAAAATGAGGCAAAATGCTTCCCTCTCCAAGTGAAAAAAAAACTCCGATCTCAAAAGCCGCCCGCTTTGAGGGAAAGAGCGCGCCCTTCAAAACGAAGTTTTTTTTCACTTGGAGAGGGCAGCATTTTGCCACATTTTTGATACTTCCCGGATGAAAAACGGTACGTTTTTGCCACTGTATCAGACCTGCCACCGTATGACCGGAAATTTTTTGTTTTTTGGGACTTCAACTTCTTTCCCTCAAAAGCTCACCAACAGTCCAGCGACGGCCAACGAAGTCGCGGCGACAATCAAGTAGTAGGATTTTTGCTCCCCAGAAATGTAACTAATCACGGCCGTGAACACCATTCCAATGGGCCAGCCATTCAACGACGCCACAACCAACCGTTCCCTCTCCGTTTTCACGGCTTCAATTATAAACACCACATTTGTCACCATGTAACCGCCCGACGCGCAGCCCATCAAAAAGAAGACCGATGTGGAGATGATTGGTGAGAAGGAGCCCAAAAATACAAGTGTGAGATTGGCCAATGTCAAGAAGAATAAAGAGAATACGACCACGGGTTTGCGACCAAAAAAATCGGCCATAAATCCGGCCAGAAATGCACCAAAAACTGCGCCGAACATGACGGCCATTGAGATGCGGACCATCCACGAGGACTGGATGCAAATCTCTTGCCATTCGAACAGAAGCGAGTAGAATTCGCCGATTTCGAGGGCCTTGAATTGAAGCGCCGTGGAGTCGTAGGTTCGGTTGCGAATGTGGTGGCAAAAGTACTGCAAATTTTGATCGTTAGTAGATACAGTGTGAGAAAAATCAATAAATTTCAAATCCCACACACCTTTTTTATTACAAGATGGGGCATCTTTGTGGCCCGATTTAAATTGGCCATAACTTTGTTAGTTTTTGGCCAAATTTTAAAATTCTTTTTTTCCCTGAACCCTACAACTCTCAGGGATTGATATGAGGCCTACGTCCACCACCTGTGCAAAATTTAAAGAAAATCTGAGTGTCGCACAAGGGGTACTTCCCTTGTTAAGCATCAAAATTAGAGTTTTTTGTTTGTAGTCAACTTCTGCTGTTAGCTAATAAATGGCCAACACATATTTGGTACTAAGCAAAATGGGGATCTCTGAGGATCCAGGGAAAAACAGAATTCTGAGATTTGGCCAAAAACTAAAAAAGTTATAGCCAATTGAAATCGGGCCACAAAGATTTCCCACCCTGTATAAAAACCTCAAACTTGCCTTCGAGGGCTCGAAAAAAGTGGTCGACAACATTGAAGCCGCCACTGGTAGGTACCCAACTTGCGTCAGTAGAAGCAACATCCTCTCATAGGATTTGAATTCCACCTCAGGCCTTGATGGCTTCTCCGGTGGATGGGAATGGGATTCCATGGAATTCTTTATGTATTTGGCCAACTTCTTGGCCCGTTTTGGCGATAACAGTTGGCAATCCGACTGCTGCTCAATAGTTTCATGTTTTTTGGGTATCAAGACTTTCGTCGTATCTTGTAGGTCCAACGTTGCATTCTCGGGCGATCTAGAAACGGAGTCCCGAGGCGCGGAGGTCATTCAATGCTGCCTGAAATTTTAATATCGAATTTGATGACTAAAAAGAAATGCGAGATACAGTCTTCTCGGAAAATGAACTAGTTTATCATATAGAAAAAGCCTTGTGGAAATAAATAATCTTAAAGACAGATGTAAGTGAAGGGAAAAGCCCGCCGAAGAACTGTCAAAAGCAGGTCCGCGGGGGACAAAAATTATAACAAAAAACAAAGTCGTGTAAATGAAGACTGAGCACAATGCTTTTAATTAAAACTCGGTCTTCATAATCCTCACATAACAAGACGTGCACAGCCCGTTTGTCTGTAAAAGCGGTTGAAATTTGACGATGAAATTTGATATCGAAATGCAGCGTAGAGACACACGTAAATTTTGTTTGACGAGGGAGCATTTAGTACTTTTGGTATCTACATGGGAAATCAAAAAAATTTAAACTGTAACTCCTCAAAAGCCACCAGTTTTTTACTGCCTCCACAATAAATTCTGATGCTAACTGTGGGCTGAATGCCAAGTTTACATATCATCGTTTTGAAGGGCGCGCTCTTTTTCCTCACGAAACTGAGCTTTTCACGTGGAGAGGGAGGTATTTTGCCACATTTTTGATACTTCCTGGATGCAAAATGGAAGGCTTTTTGCCGCTCCATCAGTTCCTCACTGTACAGCCGGCTCTCGGGGAAAAAGTCGGATATATTTTTGATCAAACGTTGTTCCACTTTCCAAAACAATCAATTTTTAAAATTGATTTAGAAAATTTCACGCCAACCTAACCCTTTATCACCACCTCCAACAACCCATAATAGATGAACCGTTCAATCTCTGAATACAAATTGGTCCCCCAACCCTTTACGAAGACCCACCTCACGTCACTTCCGCGCCCAATAATCATCAAAATCCACCTTTCCGGCAATCGACAAAATCTTTAAAAAAGGGGAAGGAGACAATTTACATAAACGAGCGCATTATGCCGCGAAAATTGCCGTCTATATTTATCTATCTCATGTTACACACTTCTCGCCCAAACGCGTTCTTTGAATAAAAATTTGGCCATTTTTTCGGTTACACATGCGAATACTCTTTGTTCGTTTCAACTGTGCCAGCAAAAAAGTAACAGCAGAAGAGTACACAGGATTCTCAGAAATGCCAAAAAATTTTAAAAAATGTAAAAAATAATTCGTCAAAGGGAGGTTCTTCCGGGTCCGCAAAATATAAAAACAAAGGGTAAAAGTGCAGGAAAATATTTGTAATGAGACATAGGAGGCTTATGCCAAATTCATCCTTCAATTTTGATGAAAATCTTGCGGTCCAACTTTTAGCACTTTCTAAAAACTCTCAAATTCGCTCAAGCATCTCATGAAAAAAAGCTCTGCCATCCCGCACAAACCCTTCCAATAATCTGTCCCGCACCTGTATACCGCAATCCTTTTCTGGAACAGAGAATAATCGAAGCCGTCTGGCTGTTTTCAAGAATTCCTCCATTTTGCTGTCTCCGGTAAAAGTGCAGGAAAATAATTGTAATCTGATTTAGAAGGCCTGTGCCGGGCAATAAAGGAGTCCATAGAGGAAATGGCGTCGCGACACTTGCGGGCAACCACTTTGCGGGCAACCAGTTTGCGGGCAAACTTTTTGCGGGCAACCACTTTGCGGGCAAAATTTGGGGGGCCACATTTGCGGGCAGCTGAAACATTTGCGGGCAGCTGAGACACTTGCGGGCAGCCTGGGACACTTGCGGGCAACCGACACTTGCGGGCAGCCGACATTTGCGGGCAACCGGCACCTGAGGGTTACAGGGTGGAGGTGGAAATATTACTGCGATATTTTGGAAATTTGCCGACATTTGCGGGCAGCCGACACTTGCGGGCAGCCGACATTTGCGGGCAACAGGAAAAAACAATCACACAGACTGTATAGGAACTTTTGGAACTGTTGCCCGCAAATGTCGGCTTCCCGCAAGTATTGCCTGCCCGCAAATGTCGGAAAACTTCCAAAATATCGAAGTAATTTTTCCACCTCTACCTTGTTATCATCAAGTGCCGGTTGCCCGCAAATGTCGGCTGCCCGCAAATGTCGGCAAATTTCCAACATATCATAGTAATTTTTCCACGTCCACCCTGTTACCCTCACAATCAGGTGTCGGTTGCCCGCAAATGTCGGCTGCCCGCAAATCTTCCAGGCTGCCCGCAACTGTCGACCCTGCCCGCAAATGTCCCAGGCTGCCCGCAAATGCCGGTGCTGGCCGCAAATGTCGGCTGCCCGCAAAGTGGCTGCCCGCAAAAAATTTGCCCGCAAACTGGTTGCCCGCAAAGTGGTTGCCCGCAAGTGTGCGCCCGCCGAGGAAATGCATGCCCTATATTATGATAGCGACACCACTGACTATTGTGAGTTGGGCATATATCACATTTCAGTTTTTGTAAATTTTAGTTCAAGCTGTTCCAAAATTTGCAAAAATAAATTCAATTTTCCTAACGTTTCACCTAAAAAGTTCGGTCGTTTCTGCAAAGCGCAAGCTCTTTCTTAGAGGAAAAGATTTTTAGCGGCTTGTTGTAGAAAAAACCGGGACTTTTTAGGGCAACGATCAACACACTGTGTGAAATTTTTCTGCGAGCGTTTCCTTAAGGAAACAATTTTTTCTTTCTCAATTGGAGGAGCTATAGCCAAAGGCTATATATTATCTCTCAGACTGGTCTCCGCACTTTCGCTGTATCTGCAAAAAATAAAGGTAAAATTCCCAAAAATTAGTGTAAAGTCCATCTCATTCCAACCTCATATGCATATAAACCCTTCGGATTAAAATTACATTATCAAATCTGCTCTGACACCGTGTTCATCGGATTTAGTGTGAAGCGAAAAGGGCGTTTTGAGGACTTACAGAATATCTGTAATTTTAAAGCCCTCGAATATTTGTATTCTGTACGGGTCCAACAGAAAATGCATGTAGTCACAAACTGCTGCCGAAACTACAAAATGGCGTCAGGACACAACTGGATAGTTATATATTTCCAAGAATGAGGGAATGTCAAATGGGCAGAGAGAAATTTCAGTATAAACAAAATACATATATACTATAACCGTGGCTATGCCATATAATAAAAATTAATATTCAAAAATAAAAAATTAGAAAAGATGACAAAAAAACTCTTTTTCATCGAAGATTTGTGAATTTTGCACCAAAAAAGTTAACTTCCCGTGCCAACATCAAATCTCAACTGAATTACAATTTGTCAGCAAAAAAATCGTGAAAAATCAGCGACTTCTGGCCGCCCTACAACGTCAAAAATGCGGTAATTTCCTTAAATTGCAAGCCAAAATACAACTGATAATCCCAGACAATTCCAATTTATTCGTCCTAAATTTCACAAAAATCCAACCGTCGCACTTTGAGCGTTTTCTATAAAAAGCAAATTTATTCCAGCATCTCAGGAAAAACAGCCCCGCCACCTCGCACAAAACCGTCCCAATATAATCTGTCCAGCACCTGTATACCGCCCAATTCTTTTCTGGGACAGAGACTAATCGAAGCCGGCTGGCTCTTTTCAAGAATGCCCCCATTTTTCGGGCTCGCGGAGAAAACCATAGATCCGTCCTCGTTCCCTTCCCCCCTTTTTGTTTGTCTCGCTTTTTACTTTCTACTTTTTCGTACTCGCATTTTTCGGAGACCTTTTATGGAGTGTAATCCGAGTCGTGGACCCTGAGTAAATTTAGAATTTAATTAAGCGAGATTGAAGAGGACTGAAGAGGGTATTTTTGGGTGTTCCTGCGCATGTTATGAGAGTAAGCAACTGCCGAAACTTTCGAAAGATTTTCAGGAATGTTAAAAATAAATAAGAAGTAAACAATATGTTTATCAAGGTTGGTGATCAGAAAATTGATGATCAAAGATGATCGAAGGACAAAGAGTTTTCTACATATTTATTACGTGGGAAACTGATCTTGGCCCACATCAACCACAAACAGAATGCCAAGATTTTTGGCATTCGGTTTTTTAAGAGGCTCAAGTGTTGTAGCGCGTTGTGCAATGGGTAATAAACAAAATAACGTTAACCTGCGATTAGAATATGGCCAAAGACCCATAATTTTTCATTTTATAGATTTTTGGCGCTTTCCGGCCACCGAGCTGGCGGCAAGACAACGGAGAAAATCGAATTTTTGAGAATTTTGTTCGCTCACAAATTTTTGGCAAAAACGTTCGAAGACACATGCGATAATTTTTGTTGGCATCTTGGGGTTTTGACGTCTTTCTCGTAAATTTCTCTTACTCTCTCCGCCTGTACACCGAGCTTTTTTTCAACTCTGATGAACGCAAAACGCCTTCTGAGTTCCCGCATTCTTCATCTATCTAGGCCAGTTATGAATCAGCGAAATTTTGACCCACGCTTTGCAGGCCAAGCCCAAATTTTGCCGACGTTTTTAAAAGTGAGAGACTACGGAAAACGGGGAGAGGGAAAAAATTATACACCACTGAACAAAATGATATGCCCACCATAATTTCCGCCGGCACTCTGTCCTCATTGAATGAATTGTTTTAGTCTTTTGGTGAAAATGATTACGATGCAAAGTAGCATCTGCAGAAAAAGTATCAAATGGTTTCAAAACGTCCAAGTTCAGAAAAATTTGAAAAACATGAAGGGTCAAAAATCGGCTAGACAAAATGATGAACCCACTTGTTTAGTTTGATCTTTCTCTGGCAAACACAAATTAACAAACCATTCAAGGAATGAGTGGGTCCTCAGCTCATTACTAAGACTGGCCGAGACACTGCCGAAAAAACGTTTTTGCTGAGTTTATCAAAAAATTGTAAAACGCGCATTTCAAGCCCATGTCATATTATATATGTACAGAAAAACATTTCAAACAAAGCCATTGTCTCTATCAAGACACTGATATAAGCTGATATAAGTCCCAAATCAGTACACAATTTGAATCTTTCCAAAAACAAGGGGCTTTTAGACGACGTGATTCTAAGCCCCATGAGCTTCCAAGACGACGTCGAACCTGTGAAGCGATAACGAATAAAAAAGTAAACCTTGGGAACTAACCGACAAAACAATGAATTTTTTGGTCGCTTATCATCGTACTGTACTTTAGTCGACCTGAACTTGCGAGGTTATACAAATAAAAATAGGGAAGGAAATCAAACTCGAGTTGGGGGAAGGGCCGCTCTTTGGATTTTCCGGGGAAAACGGACCAGTCTACGCATCTTCAAAAACGAGCCGGCTTTTTTCTTTCCTTTTTTCTCATTTCCCTTCCGGAATTCTTTGTTGAAAACAAATTTTAGGGATAGGAAATTTATATTTTTTGTGTGTAATAATGGCCACTAAATAGGCAAAAATTATAGGAAATTGGCTTTTATTTATTACATTATACCTTTTGGCTAAAGAAATTTACGTTTTTAGTGCTAAAATTTGATTGACTATAGCTTCTAACTTGCAAAATTCTCCCTCAAGACGATAGATTTTCTTTTTTTCAATTTTAAAAATTTTCAGAAATGCCTGAGAAGCCTTCAGAATCCCCTGGTCAATCTACCGTAAGCATTTCTGAGCCCAAAAACGCAGAAAAACAGCAAGTAATATCCGGCGGAGCAGGGAAATCCACGATGGATCCACTGAGTTTGCTCGAAGAACGAGTAGGTTGTTTGTTGTTTACTTAGTAAACGATACGAACAATAGGAGGTTCGAATCTATTATGAATTTTAGAACGCCCAGGCGGATGTGTTCATCGCTTGCACGCAATGGGTGTAGATGTCCAAAGAACCGTTCTATTACATTATTTTTCCATCAAAAACTTTGTTTGTTATTATTTAAATTTTCTGTTTTCGAAAGGTATATTTTTTTTTTACCATTTACAACCAATATCTCCTCAATAAAAATGTCATAATTAGTATCCAGGAGCTGTTCTAGGGATATGACAATGATCACATCTTCCATCCGGCCCAGTTGTTCCCAATTCTCCAATGGCGCCCGGCTGGCCGGGCTGTCCCGGCGTTCCTGGAGCTCCCTGATCTCCCGGAGGGCCTTGGGTCGTCTCTCCAGGCTTACCATCCGCTCCTTTGTATCCTGGCCATCCTGGACGTCCGACAGGGCCAGGTGGTCCTGGAGGGCCAATTCTGGCGGGCAGTTGAGTCAAGCGACCCGGAGCTCCTTGATGACCGGGTCTTCCGTCCGGACCAGGTTCGCCTCGAGGTCCGGGATGACCGGGATATCCAGGCCTGCCGGGATAAGATATCAATCCCGGTCTTCCGGGATATCCCTCTCTGCCTGGACGTCCTGGTTGTCCTGGCTGACCTGGAGGACCAACAGGGCCGGGAGCGCAGTCGAAACAGAAGGCGGGCTGTTCCTGGGGATAAGGCAGCTCAAGTCCCGGAGCTCCTTCATTTCCCGGCTGACCGGGTTGGCCGTCAAACCCATCGCTTCCTGGAGGACCTGGCGGACCAGCAGGGCCTGGCGGAGATACTCCACATCCGCAGCAAGTTGAGGAAGATGGTGAGCTTTCTGACGAACCATATGCCGGTGGGATTGAAGTGTCATAAGCTGGAGCAGAAGTTGAGCTGGCCTCTTGATAAGATGAAGAAGGCGATGGGGTGGCTGTAGGGTTGTATGCGTCATTGGAGGATGACCCATAAGTCGTACTGGCTTGCAGAACATCATACGGGGCTTTAGATGGCGGATGAACAGTGTTTCTAGATTGTCTGGAAGTTATGGACGAAATAATGCTTCGTCGGCCGGTGAAAGCTTGTCGTTTTTGACGATTTGCGGAGAGTATCATCTGAAAATAAGATTCGAAATAAAGCTCTGTAAAACAAAGTTTTAAAATTCTTACTTTTGTCACTCTAATTTCGCTGAAAACATTTGCCGCACGATGTCGACAGAACTCCAGTTCACCGTCCATTATCGTCTGAATTCGCTGGACATTCTCGTACACGACTGGCACCAAAACAACGACCAACAAAGTACCAAGTGTGGCCAAAGTTGAGCCAAAAATAGCCCAATTCCTTAGAGAATGGGCTTCTGCTGCGGAGCCGGTCATAATAATTGCAAATAAATATTAGTTACAAGGTGTTTTAGAGACCAAAACCCCCCAAAAGAAATGGTCTATCTCTCTCGAGAAGTGGTTATTCGAAAGCCCCATTTTTAGCACCTTCTTATATACTCTGCAACAAAGAGGGATGTAGATCACAATGAGAGTGCATCGAGAACAATAATTCGCCTCCTGACTCCATTTGTCGACGGTTTTTTCACGCCTTTGGGTCGCTTGTTTTCGGCTTATCTTCACTTCATCTCCGCTGTTTGTGGAACGAAATTTGTCTTGGGAAATTCAACCTTTGAAAACAATCTTTGTTGAAAACGGTAAAATCAGACGAGAGTCGGTGAAAAATCAAATTTTCGCATATCTGATAAAAAATTTTCAAAAAAATTTTTTTTTTCAAATTTTTATTTTTACAAAAAAAATCAGTCATAAGCGGTCTTGATCAAAAAGTTTATGCAATTTGTCCATTCTGCAGTGGTGGTTGCGTCCATCTAGGCGACAATGGATCATTTTTCTCCTTGATTTCATCAATCCTGGCCGTTTGTTCCTCATCGCCAGTATGCGGATCTTCTGGAGGCGATTGAGTGTCCTCGGACTTCTTCTCAAAATCATTATTGTTGTTGTCGTTCTTCAATTTGTCGCTCAAAATGTCTTCATTCTCGTTGACCGGATCCAAGTCCTTTGTCTTCTCCGGTAGCTTCGTTTCCTCCGGGATTTCCGGAGGCAACGGAGTTGCAATTGGGAGATGAGGGACGGCGGTAATGTCCGATTGATCTCTGGAGACCTTCTTCATGATGGACTCGGCTTTTTCGTCAATGTCCAGCCAATAGGTGTTCACATCTCCCTTTCCTTTGACTTTGACAATTCCTCGTTTGGTCAGCTTGTATCTGGGGATATCGCGGAGGCGTTCGGCGGTCTGTTCGGAGAGTTGGATCTGGTCTGGCGGGCAGTTACTCTGCATACGAGAGGCGAAATTTACCTGAAAACAGGCATCAGCTCCTCTGTTTTAGTCATTTTTTTATAGTCTTTAGCCAGATTTTTAAGTGAACTTACAGTATCCCCAAACAGACAAAATCTTGGAGCTCTAGCGCCAACTACTCCTGCGGCAATTGGACCACAATGATAACCAATGCGGACTTGGACCTTCCAGTTCGGTATATGCTCCACAATGTAGCTGAAATTACAACGTATTTACAGCCTATGCTTCTTTAAAATTTTCTAATGTTCCCTTGACCTACTGCTGACACAACGCTCGCAACTCCAAAGCGATCTCCGAGATTTCGATGACATGCCGATTATCGTTTTCATTGGGGACTCCCGACGCTACCATGTAGGTCTAAATAGCCATAGTAACTTTATTACTGAGGGAGTAAACTCACTTCTCCAGTAGTTTCAACTTTATATGCATCATGATGTTCGATGACCGCATCAAATCGGCTGAAAACATCGTTCAGAAAACGGATCACGTTATGTGGAGCTGTGTGGGATAAGAAAAAGTTGAAATCGACCAGTTGGCAAAACAGAACCGAAGCCAGCTCGTAGTTTCTTGGGACCACGGACTCGCCGGTGATCAGCAGTTCGGCAATTGAACTGAAAAAATTATTCTGAATAACCCGAAAAAAGTTTGGGCCTTTTATTGAGAATTTTTCACAATTTTAGGCTACAGTAACTTACGCTGGAAGAATTTGTTGCAAAAGTTTTGCATTCATGATTTTTTGGCTCTCAAACTCCGCCGTCCTCTCGTCGACAATCTTCTCCAAATGCTGGGCGTAAGAATAGTTCATCTTGATCATCTGATCGATCAGATTTCCTTTTCTGAAAATAGGTTATTTGGAGCTAAAAGTCAGGCAATTTTTATTGCAATTGATTACTAATACCTCTCCCAACCTACACCAGATCAAATCCTCCCAACTTACGACAACTCAAAGACGGATGAAATGATCTGATTGACCTTCCTCAACTTGGGTCGCTCCTCGGGATTTTTCTTCCAACAATCCAGCATCAAATCCACTAATGGTTTTTCTTCTGGCAACGATTCCTCCACTGGTGGGACAATTCCGTCCTTTCGGATCTTCTCTACAATATCTTTTGGTGGTTGGCCGTAAGTTTCGAAAGGAATTGTTCGAAACAGAACCATGAATAGAAGAGAGCCAAATGAATAAATATCGCCCAGTCTCGAGCCTTTGGGAAACATTCGACCATACGCAATGCCTTCGAGATTCTCAGGGGCTGTGTTGTAATAGGCTGAAAATTTATGTCATCAGATGGGAAATGCGATGGGAGTAGTATGTATGTATCTATATAGGCTGTCCTCTCTGATTATTTTTCATTCTTGGGTGGTTATTTTGCGGGACTTTTCCGTTATTGATCGTATAAAATGTCCTCCGCAGTTCGCGGAACCTAGGGCGCAGCTCGCATTAACTTTACAAGTTTTGGGTGTTGCTCCGGAATTTTTCCTCCGTGAATCATCGTATAAAATGTCCCCCGCAGTTTGGGGAACCTAGGGTGCATCTCGCGGGGCAGTAGGAGCTCCTTCTATACCACATAATTCGAAATTGCGCTCAAATTTTGATATCAAAGGCTAGGTTTTTACACAGCCCTGGAAAGATCGTAGGGCCAAATGCTACGCATTTCTACGTACTGTCCATTTTCCAAAACTCACAAGTGAACGGAATAATCTCGGTCAACTTGATCTGCTCTCGTTCAATCGCCGCATTCAACACATTGACCAATCCAAAGTTGTTCAACTTGAGCACCCAGTTTCCATCGATCAAACAGTTCGCTGGATTCAACAGCCCATGGAATCCCACAGTACTTTTGTGGAGATATTGAAGGCCATTGATGATATCTCTCAAAAATGCTGACTTAAAAGTTGTGTCCATGATAAAGTCTTGATCATTAATAAAGTCCTAAAATTAGGTTTTTACCAATTTCTTTTTCCATTTTTTACCTCCAAACTAGCTCGCTCCACCAAGCTGTGAAGCACATAAAACTTGTCGCCTTCATTGTAACAAATCCCCAGAAAAGTGGTCATGTTATCGTGATTGATCCGTTTTAGCTCGGTGATTGCATTCATCTCCAATTTATTCCATCGAATCTTTTTCATCTGCTTCAACACCATGAACTCGGCTTTCGCGGCGCCTAGCAAAGCATAGGCCGCAACAACACGACGTTTGGAGACCAAGTTGGAGGTCTTGCTGGGGTCTTCGCTGCCAGGCACTGTTTTGGTTTTGCTCTGGAAGGGTTGTAAAAGTTAAGGTGATTAGCTGATTTGAGATGTTGGATGACAAGTTAGTGAAAAAAGAGAGGCAAAAAGTATGCCACTGAAGTGATTTTTTCCCATTTTCGCTGTGCGGAAAAAATCGTGGCGTGAGCGGGAGTTCAAAAAAGCCTGTAGCACGGTGCAATTATATCCTATTTTATTTTTTTCCAATGCTTCTTGACACTATATTCCAGTTCTGCTTGATCTCTTTTACGGCTTTTTTGGGCTGTGAAAGATCAGTAATTGTTGTTGAAATTGCGATACTCTTTGAGGGACTCGGATTCAACATCTCTTCTTGAGTACTTTTTTTGCTGACAGGGACTTTTCTGACCGTCATATTACCACTTTTTTTGACTATAAACTAACTATTTAATATGTGGAAAGGCCGACTGTATATGTTACTTTTTGTAAGCTCCCACTTACTTGTTTATTTTCAATGACTTTCAGCTGAGCTTTCGGGATTTTCCAATGCATTCGGAATACATCCAATCGTTTTCTAAAATAAGCTTTCTTTGTAAAATACGGATAACGTTGATTTTCGCATGTGCCAAATTGTCTCACCTCCTTTGATACGCATAAACTCCACCCAAAATAATAATCCCAAGCAATCCGATAATTGCCGCTATGATTAAGGGTGTGTAATTAGTGCAGCCTCCATTGTAATAGCAAAGCGGAATCTCGGTTTTTAACTCCTCTTCCCAGAGCTTGAATTGGACTGGGTCAAAGTTGACGGCAGAACAAGTGAACCTATGACACTCGGTAGCAATTGCTCGAGCTGTGGTGACAACTGTAAAATCGCTGAGATTTGGCTCTCGGAATTGCAGAATTTCGATGTCGCGGATGTAGTTGGTGTTTCCGTCGAATGAAATGGCGCCCATTTTCCCTGAAATTTGAAGGCATTTACATATTTTTGACGAAGAGAAAGCCTAGTGGCTTGACTCGGCTGTAAAGTTTCAGGCTATAAAACAGTCTGTTAACATGTTTTTAACTCTAATTTAGCCAGATGTCCATACAGATAGCTCAAGCTTTCGAAAAAGGCAAGAGCTATCGACCGGAGCCTTAACAGCCTTAACTTGACCCTTGATTTATCTTCACAAGGGCCCTAAACACCCATAAAAGCCCTTCCAAACCCCATTCTCACCTCCAGTCAACGTTTTTCCAGTCAGCACGCTAAACATTGCGTCTCGATTTTGATATTGACCCTGCGACGTACAGTAGCAATAAGTGTAACAAATGTCGTAGATAGCGATCAGTTCGGAATAATAAGTCTAAAAATAAACAATATTTGCACGAATAAAGCACTCACCTCAGTCAAATCCAGATCCGGTATCCATTCCGTCAACTGCTTCACATGCTCTTCATAGTTCTCAAATTTGGGGGCCAGCTGAAAATGGCGAGTTATTCAGAAGCTTGTCGAGGTGACTCCAATGCATAAAGTAACAGACAAGTTGCTGAATAAGATTGCTTGTCGTTTTTTAATGGCTTTTGCACGCTGATAAAAGCAAGGTTGTAAAATACGGCGCACGTCGTTAACCGACTCATTATCAATCTTCCGGGATGCGTGAATTTCAACAAACATGTTTTCGTTTTGCCATGTAAGAGTCCGGTTACTCATTACAATGGGCACTGTAGCAGATACTGCTCCGTTTAACTCACTGAATCTCATCACTATGTTGGGGGAAATTTACAGGGATGTTTTGCCAAACAGTTCAAAAAACTTTTTGTTGTGGTTTCAAGAGTACTAGTATATAATAATAATTTGCACTTACCACGACCATTTTCGAATTCTGATAACCAGCCAACACCTCTTTGGAGCAAATCGTATACGAATCTCGGCATAGCAATATGACCAGCACATTGTTCTGGCCCATTTCTATTACACTCAGTGAGCTCAGAATAGTCGCCAACTTCTTGAAACTGGTGTCGATCACAACACCTAAAGATGACGTAAATAATACAACTTGTTCGTAATTTTGGGTTTCCTACATTTGATATTAGTCTTGGCTTCCTTCACAGTGTCATAGACGTTTTCCCAGTGGTTTTCGTCGATCCGCAGGACCTTCGTGATGTTCACAGTGTTCAATTCGGCCATCATTTTGAGGAAGACGTCGGTGAGAGGTTGAGTTCCGGACTGCATTGTGATCGTGGGGCCGATGAAAATGATTTGTGAGAGACCCAGCTTTCGAAGCAGCTCGGACAAGGTCTGCGCCATGAACATTATAGCAGTGTCAGGATTCTGAAAGCCAATGTAAATAGACGTTGATTAAAAATGATGATGTTTACTTCGTAACGCGAAATTTTGCAGTAATTTTGACCGGAAAATAACATGGTATCTTCTGCCTAAACTATAAAAAACAATGTGGCTTTAACTTACGTATATGACATTCGGAAACTCAGCCCCGATTGAGTAATATGGCTGTCGAAATGTTCTGACAAAGACTGCAAAGTCAAACCCAGAAGAGAGCCGGGCCAAGTCCAACGTTTCTTGCTCACAATCGCCTAGAACCAATGTGCTTGCATCCTTCTTGAAATGCAAGTCAAGAGCGTCCATGAGGTCATGTTGGCCGGTGCACTCGGTAATGTTGAGGACTCTGAAATACCATTTGTTGTATGGTAAAGAATTGATTTCGTATGCTGTTTTGAAGTCCCTTGGGCTGTTGGCAAATCTTGGCATAAATGGGACACTCAGATTTTCTTTATATTTTTCACACATTTCGTGAATAGGCCACCTATGAATCCTGCAATTTTTAGCTCGCGTTTTGAAGGGCAGCAGATTTATTCAACGATCTCTGTGGCCTACCCAAAACGTGGAGTGCGGTGAGAAAAATAAACTTTTTTGGCCATATCTTTGTCATTCCTTGCCCGGGAAAATTTTATTTTCCGGGATTGCCTATGACGGTAGAACTGGACATGAAACTTTTTATGCCAAATTTTGCAAAAAATGCCGTTACCTTTGTCAAATTCTGGCATAAAAACCTTGGTCGTTTCTGCAAAACACGAGCTAGAAACCAAGCATATCTCTAAAAATTGATCCAACTTTGTGCCAACTTTCATTACAATGAAAGCGTCGCACTTGGAGTCCCTCCCCCGAACATTTTCCATAACTTACGCAACACGATTGTCGCACTGCTTTGTCGCCTTGGCATCCGCAACGGCGTGTTTACACACGTCCACAAACCTTTCATCATTTTCGATCAATCCCAAATGAATGGCCCCTCCGGAACTACATAGTAATAGAATTAAAAACCTCAACATTTGCCTTTTTACCACTGCAAATTACATTCGAAATCCAGGTAATCTTCTCGTCGTTTTTATCGATTGCCCCTTCTTCCCCGCTTTCCAAACATAATGAGCACAATTTTGGGGTGGCGGAGAAGAGACATAATACTACAATTAACTCGCTTCGGGTGTACATACGACTTGGCGGGAGAAGATGACTTTTGTTTGGCTGCTAGATGAGATTATTAATACTTTTAGGTATGTGGAATTATGAGCGATTACTGTTAATGTCTTGGGCAGATTGTGTTTCGTCAATACCCTTGGCAATTTCAGGATGGAAGAGTTTATATGAGCAACTTACATATACATATATATGCACATATATGTTGCTCATCAAACATGGTAACTTCTCAAAGTGCAACGCTCAGATTTTACTTAAATTTTGCACACACACCGGGCCATGTAACAATACCCACAAATTATAGCTCGCGTTTTGCCGTAGTCACTGAGAAATGCAACACTCTTTGCCACCGAGAGAGTATGCAAAACGAAGAGATTGTTCACAAAAAACCCCCTTTTAACCACATTTTTGCCAGTTTCGTGCTGAAAAATTATTTTTTGCGGGGCTATTACTCTCTACAGCGGAATAGGCATGAAACTTTTTATACCAAGTTTTTGTGGGGAAAACTTCCGATTCGAAAACTCCCTTTAAAAAGCGTCGCTACGACCTAACGAGTCTTGCCGGACCCGCAAGCCTACCAATCCTACCAAGCCTTATTCGTCTGCCTAAAGGGCACCACGAAAGCAATCAACAAAATCAACAACCAATATAAATAACAATAATTTATTGGCCCTCTACTAAGGGGATTATCCTAAGCAACTTAACTGGGGCTAGTAGTAGGCCCGATATTCATCAAATAATACATGTTTAACTGGCGTTAAAAACGGCAGAATTGGTATAGACGTTTATCGACTGTCTAACCGCAGTTGCTGCACTTGTGAAGTGGAGCTGGTGCTCGTCATTGTTGTTTGCGCGCTCTGAATTTGCGAGTTGGATGATCTTGACCGATTCGTCGAGTGTTGATCTTACGAGGCTGGCTGAATGTTGCTCAAGCGCCTCCTTCCGGTTTGAAGTTCGGACCTCTGAACTTGGGGTTCTTCGTGGCCTGGGTAGACGTGTCGAAAGTTGGTATTCGATCTATAAACTTCTTATGGAAGTATCTGGCCTAAGCCACAGAGATTTTATCTAAAATCATATCGATTAATTGGATTAAGTGTTCCGAGCGGAATCAAATGACCTTCTAGTCGGCCGACTACGGGTAATTAATGACTATCGGCGATCCCCCACCGATAGCCAACAATAATTGCTCCGCGTAATCACTAAACCAACCTGAGCGTCGACCTCGCGCTAGATCTTCGGGAACTTTGTTTCACTTCGAATCTTGTCACCGTAGGGAATGGTCGGCTCGGAGACTGTACCTTCGACGGGCTGAACAACAAACTGCGCGTCTACTGACGACGGAAGAATGAATGAGTCGCCCGGGAAGGTTTTAGTTTTTCGTCAGGGGCGGGCATGCGATTTTCTTTGTTCCGCTTTTACGTCATCCTCGCGGCGCTGTTTGATTTTCGGCTCCACCTTCTACCGTACTTGTAGGTATCGCCACATAACTCCCCTCGAAATGTCGACCGACTCTCAATCAGAGATTGGCCTGCGAGGCCAAACAACCAGCATTCTGTATCATTACCGACGGAACCCATTAGACCTGGCGCGAGCCCCCGCCTTATTGATCTTAGTGCCCGGCTCCATGATCTTGGTGATGCATGGTTTCTGTAATACATTGTCCCTGGACGCAAGGTCCTCGCGGCCGAAGTCCAGACGGACCGAATCTTGCTCCGGCGGGCCCGGTTATTTTTCGTGGGCCCGTCGGACTTGGCGGATATCCAAGAGTTGGGCCGGAATGATTCCGGTCATCGCCTCAACGTTGTCGCCCCGCCAGACTTCCGACTTCCTCGAAAGTTTGAATTATTATACTCGGTTGTATGTAGTATTCGACGGTGCTTACATGAACCCCCAAGGGCGGCGTTTATCGGACTTGCCGATGTGGGACCCCAGCGACTTGTCGGAAGAAGAGTTGACTCTGATGCGATTAATGGGCCACCAGGTAAGTGATTAAACCTTCCTCTTCTGTTGCCGCCTTGCTCGCTTATTTATTGTCTTCATTCCAGATCGACTTCGACGGTTATTCAAAGGTTATTCAAAACCGGCGGAACCCATTAGACCTGGCATGGGCCCCAGCCCTATTGATTTTGGTGCCAGATACGAGACCTTGCCAATGCAAAGCTTCTTTAATACACTGTCATTGGACGCAAGGTCCTTAGTGGCCGAAGTCCAGTCGGACAGAATACTGCTCCGGCGGAATACTAAGATATTGTGAAACTTTAACTAAACTCAAATTGTCCGCAGGTTTACAATAAATTTGACTATCCAAGAGGTCCTAGAGTTGCGCTGTTCGAACGTGTTCAAACGAATTAGTTAGATAAAAGGGTTTCGAACTGCCGAAAATTGGGCGCACTTCGCGCGGATCGACCATTTTTTTGGGTCGATTTCGTTTTACACATTTTTTATTGGACAAAATTCTTTCAATGGCTCGCTCGGGTCGTTTGCTCGGGTTTTGAATAGGTCGACTAAATTATTTATCACGATTCAAAAAAAGCATATGGTGGACAACAGCACCTTCATCTCAATCATCTCATCGCAGGGTTCTCTATGTGGTAACCTCACCTGTCCACATACTTGGTTCTGCGTGCGCCTGCGAGCGTAAGTTATTTATCCTAATTGTTAGTTTTGGGAATTTTAGCTATCCACTTCCAATTTCTTGCTCTCCTACTCCGGTGGATGTCGTGGCGCGTAATCAATCATATCCCCGCGCGGCGGGATAAAGAGAGATGCGCACCTCGATTTCCCCTAGTTGGCATGTTTTGTAGGCTCCGCATACGGAGTATACGGAGAATCTCCTCAATAAAGTATTGAGTACAAACGCCTTCGGATTGTAATATTCCTGCCGTTTCTGCAAAGCGCGGGCTGGAAACCTCGCGTACCCCTTGTAAGTTATTACACTGTTTGTAAAAAAAAATGGAAGTTGAAATACGCTTTTCCTGTCCACACAAATTTCCCTCAAAGATATTGAGACGTTTACAAATTGATTGGCCAGTTTATTTAGCATGATACAACATTTTTTTACGTCGAAACTTTCATTACGCAATAACTTTTACGGTATGGCCGTAAGCGACGGATTGGAAGTAGTACTATTGACCACTGATTTTTTCTGGAACGCTCCACAGACAGCTCGCCGGAAGGGAACAATCACCACAATAGTGATGATAGGGTTGAGTACAGGGATCCAACTGGTCGCCAATACACAGTAGCAACATATCCTACCAGTGTCTATGTAAAGGAAGGCCGGGATTACAATCGTAAGAGAGGGAATCACCGATACGAACAAAGGAATTGTTGCCTAAAAGCAATCAATTTATTTTTAGGGCCGTTTAGTTTTACTGAATACCTGAACAAACATAAAATTTGTGAGTTGTCTCTGAAGTCGCCTTGTCCTCTCGGAATAAGAAGCGTCCATTTTACTTGTAAATTGCAGGGTTTTACGACCGATGTGAATCATTAAGAGATATGAACCGGCAATGCTCATTCCGGCCCAAAAAAAGAATCCTTTTTGGTAGATTGAGCGCTGAAAAATGGGCTTACCAAAATTAATTTCATTCCAGAAGGAATCTGGATAGTGCAACGATTCCATAACAAATTTTCTTTCGTATTCTTGCGATTTGCTGCTTACGATTGCAAAGTTGACGCAGCATCAACTTTGGCAGTTCAAGCTGTCAAAGGGTCACCTACCACATCTCCAAACAACAGTGGAGGCAATGGAAATTCTTGATACCATAACTGTCCGTAATTGAAGCCAGGCCGCTCGTTTGGCGAGGAGGTGAAGCTGGCGTAGGTAAAGAAAAATGTTGGTAATGTGAGAACCAACGTTACGCAACAAAGACCAAGAGTTTGTGAAGCCGATAAAACAATGTTTCTGAAAGCAAAACAGTGTAAGCGAAGGACAGTAAAAGGCAAACGTTGTCAAAGAGTAATAGCGAAAGTAAAATTGAACCGGCAACATCGCATTCAAAAAGCAAGATGACCACGCAAAAAATGCCATAGTGAACGATCGATAAGTAAAGCTCAGTTGACCTGCTAGCCCTTCCATTTTCAGAATAAAGACTCCGTCTTTCTCCTTCACCTTCTAAATTTGATTTGTATAACGACGAAAGTTGTATTTACCATCCACATAAAATTGTCGCCCGCCCAATAGGTTAAGTCGGTAATGCAGCAAATAAAGAGCATATTTCGGTACTGCTTCAGAGGGCCAGAAGTTTTGAACAGGACCAAGTAAAGCATCAAAAATGATACAATTCCGCCGCCAACCGACGTTATGAAATAATTAGCAAATAAAAAGGCGGTTAGGTTTTGAAGCTCATCATACGGCTCGTAAAAAGCCGTAAGATTATCATCCACCATATCCCAGGCAAAAGGGTTCTCCAAAGACGGAGCATTATGAATAACTAAAGCCATAGCTAGAAGTGAACGACTGTGTCGATATATTTGTAATCTTGTTACACTAGTCTTAGTGAAATTGCATGAAAAATAAAGTAGATATTTCACCAAGATCGCACCTTTAAATACTGAGGGTTCACTGTCGACGATCTCTGTTGAAAACAAAGAAGTCGAACCAAGGGTCCGCAATACATCTGGGACACGATATATTTTGATTAAGAACATTTGTGACAAAACTATAATATGCCTAGAAGTCGAAGTCTTGCAGAATATACAAGATCCGTAAACATGTCTAATTTATGGTAAACTGTACATAAAATATTCCAATTCCAAAGGGCTCATGTTTGAACAACAAATGAAAGGGGTAACCGATTGTACTACGTTCGAAAATCATATCCATAGGACTTGTCCCGCCTCGTTTTGGCGATCCGCCCACCCAATGTCGTTTGAAGTCCAGCGAAAGAAATGTTATCACATTTTCTACAGTGAGGGACCTTCAAAAAAAAAGCGCGCGCCTTTTGTTTTTTCAAAAAGCGCGCGCCTTTTGCGCTTCCCTCTTTTTTTGGCCTTCTGTATTTGCCGAATTTTTTTGTTTTTTTCCCGGAGAAGGAGAATGCGAGAAAAGAAAAAAGCGCGCGCTTTTTGATTGCGAATATTGTTGGAAGCAGTGGGAGCTAGCGCTCTCTTATTGAAGGAAAGGGCGCGCTTTTCAAAGCGGAGTTTTTTAGCTTAGAGAAGGGAAGGATTTGGAGTCAGTTTGGTCCCTTCCGGGATGCAAAGTGAGACGTTTTTTGCCATTGGATCCGGTCCCTCACTGTATGAGGGTTTTCGATCGGAAAATATTTTCCTTTTTTTTGTCGATTGTGACACTTTGTTTGGACGAAACTCCAAAATGGGCGATAAGGTTTGTTTTTTCTATTTTCGGTTGCCGTGCCTCGTCGTTGTTCCCCACCAGCCGATTCAATGAGATGGCCGAAATTATCTTCCGTTATGAAAACGTATGTATTCACGTACCCATCAGCTTGACCGCATTTGGGCGGGCTGGATCATGGAAGGACAGATGAACTATGGCAGACCGATGTTTTTTCCTTCGACGGGATCAAAATGTGAGTGTACTTTAGAACCGATTACAAATTCATTGGTGAGTTTATTTGTGATAAACCATATTCCACCTCGAAAGCTTTGTTACGCAATAAATTTTAAGTTATAGCCGTAATCGACAGATTGGATGCTGTACTATTGACCGCGGCTCGTTTCCGAAAGAGTCCACGGACAGTTCGTCGGAAGGGAACAATCACCACAATAGTGATGATAGGGTTGAGTACGGGGATCCAGCTGGTCGCAATTACACAGTAGCAACACATCCTGCCAGTGTCCATGTAAAGGAAGGCCGTAGCCACAATCAGAAGACAGGGAACTACTGATATGAACAAGGGAATTATTGCCTAAAAGCAATCAATTTATTTTTAGGGCAGCTTAGTTGTACTGGATACCTGAACAAACATAAAATTTGTGAGTTGTTTCTGAAGTCGTCTTGTCCTCTCGGAATAAGAAGCGTCCATTTTTCTTGTAAATTGCAGAGTTTTACGACCGATTGAAATCGTTAAGAGGTATGAAGCGCCAATGCTTATTCCGGCCCAAAAGAAGAACCCTTTTTGGTAGATTGAGCGCTGAAAATTTTGTTCACAACAATTTTACAGGGTGCGCCAAAAATATTGGGACTCATATTTTTACTTGCCCTGCGGGCTGTAATGGTACAAGAGCAAAGTGGTCGCTTGTGCAAACGTGCAATGCTCCCAAGAATCTATCTTCAAAGTTTCAGACAGAGTAGTCGTATACGACACCTGTTCTGCCATTATAAGTGCTCACAACTGAGGCCCCTGAGACACGGACCCCAAAATGGATAAAAATTGGAAAGACTACTTTTACCGTTGCATGCTATGGCGGAAATTCACTTCATATGACAGAGTAGCGGTCGCTTTTTATACACTAAAAATGATTTTTACTTATAATGACGATTACATCTTTTACAGCCCGTCAAAGTCGGCCTAAAAACGCGCCGTTTTCCAGAAAACTTCCGTAAGGTCAAAGATTTTTATGTAGAAGTTTCGATGTAAGGTTCCCAGCGTATTAGGCATCAGAGATACTTTCATAAGGACAACGAGAGTCTGACTAGTCGTCTTTGAAAAATTATTTTTTTATCTTCTGCCTCTGGGGGATGAAATAGTGACTATAGCGGTAGAATTTACTCTAAGGTTGCTCGTCAAGTGAGCCTGGACTGAAGATCGCTAAAAGTAATTCAGTTGTGTCAGCATGTATCCCGAGTACAGCGTTACGTCGATTTTTACGCTCAAGTACTTTTCAACTTGTAGTAAACTGCCAAAATATATAAAGCTTCGAAGGACCGTGCCTCCAATCCGCACCATAAAGTTTTTTCCATACAGAAACTGTCCCCTTGTAGGTGTAGATTTTCTTTTACAGTATGACAATTCCCTATGTACACACTCTATAACCACAAAATTTTAGAGCAACACGGGCGATACTGTGGTATTGAGATCGTTAAAAACATAAAAATCCGAACTTTCGGGATTTTTTTTGTTTTTGCGACCAGCGCCGCCAGATCGGTCGTCAACCATGATTACATACGCTGTTACGAAGCTAATAGCATGTGCTTTATACACAATAAATTTGAAGGATCTTACTTTCCCTTAGCGGAAATAATGGCCAAATTGATTTCCCGGTCATCCACTTGAAAAGAAAATTTTGGTCCCCCAAAAACCTTTGAATATTTTTTCAAGTTTGCAATGGGCCCCAACCCTGGCATTACCGTTGCCGTATAGCAAGACTGTTACCCTTGCTAAAACGGCCAAAAGTTTTGATTCCAAGGCCAGCCGAAAAAAGCTACACGGAATTGATTTTTGTCCCAATATTTTTGGCGCACCCTGTATATTAAAAACAGCGTAATCTCTGTACAACAAGCCCCACCTTTGCAAGCGATTTCAAGAGCCCCCAAAAAAATTTCAGGCCGGAATATTCAAAGCCTCCATAAGAATTTTTTTTTGGGATTTGCTGTATAGAGCTAGACGGTAGTTCAACCTATCAGACTCTTCAAAGGGCCACTTACCACATCTCCAAACAATAGCTCTGGCAATGGGAATTCTTGATACCATAGTTGTCCGTAATTGAAGCCAGGCTGCTCATCTGGCGACCTGTTGAAGCTGATGAACGTAAAGAAAAGTGTTGGTATTGTGACAACCAGCGCTATGGCACACAAACCAAGGGTTTGCGACGCTGTTAAAAAAATCTGTCTGAAAGGAAAAAAATAATACAAAGGGCAGTAAAAGGCAAACCTTGTCAAAGAGTAATAGCGAAAGTAAAATTGAACGGGCAACATCGCATTCAAAAAGCAAGTTGACCACACATAAAACGCCATAGTGAACGCTCGATAAGCAAAACTCAGGTGACCCGCAAGCCCTTCCATTTTGACAATAAATACTCCGTCTTTCTCTTTCACCTTCTAAATGTGATTTGTATAACGGCCGAGGTTGTATTTACCATCCACATAAAATTGTCGACCACCCAATAAGTCAAGTCGGTAATGCAGCAGATAAAAAGCATTTTTCGGTACTTTTTTAGCGCACCGGAAGTTTTGAATAGGACCAAGTAGAGCATCAAAAATGATACAATTCCGCCGCCAAACGACGTTATGCAATAATTGGTCAATAAAAATGCGGTTAAGTTTTGGAGCTCATCATACGGCTCGTAAAAAGCCGTAAAATTATCATCCACCATATCCCAAGCAAAAGGATTCTCCAAAGACGGAGCATTATGAATGACAAAAGCCATAGCTAGAAGTGAACGGCTGTGTCAACGTATACAATATTTGTAACGTTTTTTTTCACTAATGATCGCGAAATTTTAACCAACCTAATACATAAAAAATAAGGTTGACATTCCGCCAGAATAAAACCTTTAAATACTCAGGGTTTATTGTCTGATAATTTCTCTTAAAAACAAAGAAATCCTTACCTCAAATGTCTACAATACATCAGAGACACGATATAATAATATTTTGATGAAAAATAAAAAACACATTAGTGACAAAAGTATATACGCCTAGAAGTCTGCAGAGTCTACAAGATCCGTCAACATGTCTAATTTATCGTAAATTGTATATAATATTCCAATTCCAGCGGAGTCATGTTTGAACTAGACATGCAAGGGGTAAGCGGTGATGCCGATTCGGAAATCATATAAGGCGCGTGCGTTCTACATCTCAGCGGGCCTCCTCGCAGAAAACCCGCATTTCTTGTCTGTAGGCCCTCTAGACAAGAAATGCGCATTTTCTGTCTAAAATAGAGACAAAATTTGCAAAACTTGTCTGAGATAACAGACAAAAGGCCTGGCTGTTAGCCTGGACGAAAACCTGAAAATGTTGTCTGGACTCCAGACAAGAAACGAGGAATCCTGTCTGGTAGTCAGACAAACTTTTTTGTCTGACAGAAACGGAAAATCCCGTAAAAATCTTTATCCACAAAAAGTTTCCATTCTCCTCTCCGTGGAGTTGCATTTCACAGCCCAGGTTCTACGACGGAACTTGTCCGAACGACGAAATCCAAGGCCAACGACCGTCGTCGCTGACCCCGATCACGGTGAAGGACATGCTTCGCCTTGGAACCTCGGCGTTCCTTGAGACTGTTATCGTTTCTGGCCGAAAGGCCGAACTCCAACAAATTCGAAAAAAACATTGCCCGTACAAGCAAAGAAAATTTTCTCGCTCAGAAAAGAAATGGGTTCCTCTCATGAGCGAGAAACCCAGAGCCGAGAAACGCAGAGAAAAAAACAAAAACGCACGCAAAAAGCGTGAGTGAGAGGGCACTTTTGAACGCGATTTTTTCTCTGCGTTTCTCGCTCATGAGAGGAACCCATTTCTTTTCTGAGCGAGAAAGTTTCCTTTCGTCAATCGAGCAAAGTGTCCTTCGAATTTGTTGGTCTTCGGCCTTTCGGCCAGAAACGAAAACAGTCTCACGGAACGCCAAAGTTCCAAGGCGAAGCATGTCCTTCACCGTGATCGGGGTCAGCGACGACGGTCGTTTGCCTTGGGTTTCGGTGTTCTGACAGCTGCGCCGAAGAACTCGTGGTCTGACGTGCAACAAGGTAGTCCCAGGAAAGAAGCGCGATGAAAAGTTTTTTGTAGACGAAAGTTTTCTTGTCTGGCTACCAGACAGGATTTCGCATTTCTTGTCTGAAGTCCAGACAAAAAAATTGTCTGCTTCCCAGACAACTTTTGCCTACTTCTTGTCTGGCTTTGGACAAGAATCGCCAATTCTCGTCTGGACCGAAAATAATTTGGACGGAAAACTGCAATTCTTGTCTAGAGGGCCCACAGACAAGAAATGCGGGTTTTCTGCGAGGAGGCCCGCTGAGATGTAGAACGCACGCGCCTTATATCCATTTTTTCTAAATTTCGCAATTTTGGCATAAAAAGTTTCCGATTGAAGTCCAACGAAATTCACAACACATTTTTTTGGCGTCTTTCGATGGGAAAATAAATAATTTTCTCGAAATTATTGTTTTTGTCAATTGTGACACTTCGTTCGGACGAAACTCAAAAGTATGCGGGAGATATTTTTTCTATTTTTTCGATTCCCGTTCCTCGTCGTTGTCCCCCACAAGCCGATTCATTGAGATGACCGAAATTATCCTCCTTTTATGAACGTCTCTGTTCATACCCGTCAGCTCGACAGCATGGGCTCGGACTGGACCATGGAAGGGAACATCAACAACGGCACACCAATGGTTTTCTCCTTCGACGGAGGCAAAATGTACGTTTGTGTGCGTCGTAATACACATTTATTACTGGGAGGCCTTTTGCGTGGAGCACAGTGGACTTTTGGAACTTCGAAGACAAAAAAAGAAAAGACAAAACAAACGGCACAAAAATCTAAAAGCTTCACATTTTATCTGCCATAAACAATATGAATTATTGAAATCTGAGCTTAATAATTTTTTTCGAGATTATTCATGACGAATCATTTTTTCATCTCCAAACATTTTTTCACAGTAGACTAGGCCGTAGTCGATCGATTGGATGATGTATTGACCGCGACTTGTTTCCGGAAAGCTCCGCAAACGATTCGTCGGAACGGAACTATCACCGTAATAGTGATGATAGGGTTGAGCAAAGGGATCCAGCTGATTGCAATTACACAGTAGAAACACATCATACCGGTGTCCACGTAAAAGAAGGCCGGGATTACGATCAGCAGAATTGGAACTACCGATATGAACAAGGGAATTGTTGCCTAAAAGCAACCAGGTTATTTTTAAGGCCCTCTGAATTGTACTGCATACCTGAACAAACATAAAATTTGTGAGTTGATTTTGAAGTCGCTTTGTCTTCTCAGAATAAGAGAAATCCATTCTTCTTGTCCGTTGCAGCGTTCTACGGCCAATTGAAATTGTTAGGATGTATGAAACGGCAATGATTCCTCCGCCCCAAAAGAAAAATCCTTTTTGATAAATTGAGCGCTGAAAAAATGGGCTTCCAAGAGGCTTATAACGACAAAATGATTTTCCAGGCGTTAACTTGAAATTGAGATTCAAAGATTCTATTGAATTTAATTTTTGTACTTTGTGGAGCACTGGTTACGTACCACATCTCCAAACAATAGTTGAGGCATTGGAAATTCTTGATACCATAGTTGTCCGTAATTGAAGCCAGGCCGCACGTTTGGCGAGGAGTTGAAGCTAGCGTAAGTAAAGAAAAGTGTTGGTATTGTGACAACCAGCGCAATGCAACAAAGGCCAAGGGTTTGTGACGCCGTTAAAAAATTGTTTCTGGAAGCAAAGCAATGTATTTTAATAAAAAATATAAAAGGAATAACAAACTTTGTCAAAGAGTAATATCGGAAGTAACATTGAACCGGCAACATTGCATTCAAAAAGCAAATTGTCCACACATAAAATGCGACATTAACACTCGGTAAGGCCGACTCAGATTGCCTGCAAGCCCTTCCATTTTCACAATAAATACCCCGTCTTTCTCCTTCAGCTTCTAAAAACACTTCGTATGCGAAAAAATGTATAAATTTACCATCCACATAAAATTATCCACCGCCCAGTAAATCAAGTCGGTAATGCAGCAAATCAAGAGCATGTTTTGGTATCCTTTCAGAGCACCAGAAGTTTTGAACAGGACCAAGTACAGCATCAAAAGCGATAGAATTCCGCCGACAACCGACGTTATGGAATAATTAACCAATAAAAAGGTGGATAAACTCCCAAGCTCATCATATGGCTTAGAAAATGGTGTAACATTGCCATCGATGATATCCCAAGCATACGGATTCTCCAAACACGGAGCATTATGAACTGCTAAAGCCATAACTGAAACTTAAAGAAGGTGTTAATGTATGATGTGGACGTTGGTACAGTAACACATTAGGAACAACTACACGAATGTCGTGGCTGCCTGTAAAATAGGCGGAGCGCCAGACAGCTGTCTTGCCGCCGAGCGCTTCGCTCTCGGTGAGAGAGCGAACTGAATGGGTGCCCGAACGTTGGGTTTGAATAAATATATTTTATCCCAGTATTCATTGTTGGGATCTTTGGTGCATCCGATGGCTGGGCTAGACTTCAGAACCACTGTGAACAGCCTGAGGATGTTCGCTACAGAAGAACAAAACGTCCCCTTACACAAAGTACTAAAGTATTGTATTTGCAAAATTTGAAAATTAACGGCTGCTACAATTCCATACGATAGAAGCATGGACTGAAAGGGCCGTAGGAGCGTGTAAACACATTTTTTTGTTTCCCTTCCATCTGCCAAACATCAGCACATTTAAATACTGAGTTTCCGTCCGACGAAAACAAAGCAAGTTTCACTTCCGATAAAGGTACAATACATCTCGAACACGCTATGTTTTGATTAAAAAAACAGTAGTGGTAACAGTGTAATATGACTAGGAGTCTGCCCTATTTTCAAGATCCGTAATCTTTCCTAGTTCGTTGTAATATTCCAATTCCAGGAAACTTATATGTATTTGGGCAAAACACGCGAGTTAGTGCAGTAATATGCGATTCAAAACATCATGCATACGACCAAAAGTTATTTTATACAAGAGCCTTTTTTAAATATTTTTCAAGTTATGGAATGACTTGATCCGTGGTCGACCGATTGTATGATGTATTGACCACGACTCGTTTGTGGAACACTCCACAAACAATTCGTCGGAACGGAATTATCACCATAATAGTGATGATAGGATTGAGGACAGGGATCCAGCTGACTGCAATTGCAGAGTAAACGCACATCATCCCAGTATCTAGGTAGAAAAAAGCCGGAATCACAAACGACATCACGGGTATGACACAAACACAAACTGGAATCATTGCCTGAAATTTAAGGCCGTCAATAACATTCTAACTCTAGTGGCGACTTTACGCACCTGTACGATCATAAAGTCACTGAGCTGCTTCTGAAGTCGTTTTGTTTTGTCGGAATACGAGTCTCTCATTTGCTTTATCCGCTGCAATGTTCGATACCCAATCACCAGTGCGATGATAAATGAAACGGAAATTATCGCTCCGCCATAAAAGAAATAGGCTTTTTGATAGACAGAGCGCTGAAAGTGCGGAAATTTAGGAAGTGTAAGCTGACAGTAAGCTGTTTTTTTGACTCCTAGGAGCCCAAGAGACAGAAAGTGATGCGAGAACGGTCTGGATAAGAATCCTTGATTCTTCGACTCCACGATTTATTATGTGTCAAGGGATCCTTTGGCGGATCCTTCCACTTTTTTTCTGGGACGGGCTTTGAGACTCTATCCAAGGAAGAGCGAACAACCAATCCCCATCCCCAACATCATCGCGATGATCTTATCTATTATTTATGTAAATTGACCCTTTTCCTTTGCGTCCCGCTCCTATAATACAAAAGGAGTGGGTTTTTGATGAATAAACCATTCCACAGCATTCCGAACTTTTTTCGTCGCCGATCGGTGTCCAAAAAAATGAAAAATTAAAAAGTGCACATTACATTTTCATGTGTGTAAGGGTAGCCAGAAGAGATACCGGCAAAAACAAAAACTCTTTATGTAGAGTAATCAATTTCCTTTCAGAGTATGTAAGTTTTGTCTTCAGGTTGTCCGCTACCTTTGAGAAAATCGTCACTAAAAAAATGGAAATTTCGATTTTGAATGCCAAAAAAATGTACTTTCTTTGGGCCACCAAAAAAGATGTTGGAGTCTATCGTAAAGAGAATTTCAAGGGCTACAACATATTAAACTTTCAAGATTTTTGTGGGGGTTTGAGTCAAGTTAGAGTGAAAAAATGAAAGGAAATTGATTACTCTACATAAAGAGTTTTTGTTTTTGCCGGTATCTCTTCTGGCTACCCTTACACACATGAAAATGTAATGTGCACTTTTTAATTTTTCATTTTTTTGGACACCGATCGGCGACGAAAAAAGTTCGGAATGCTGTGCATTCTAGAGTCGATCTCGGTTTTGTGCGGGTGACTAGTAAGATAAGGTAATTCGACAGACCCAAAGTGTTGATTGTATCTCACAGGCCTTTTCCATAGGACGGAGGTCTTACCGCAGCTTCTCATTGGGCGGGGATTTTATTATACAAAGCAATGAAACAATAACCTACCACATCTCCAAACAATATATTGGGCATTGGGTACTCTTGGTACCAAAGAGTTCCGTAATTGAATCCAGGCCGTTCCTCCGGCGATGAATTGTAGCTAGCGTACGATAAGAAGAAGTTTGGAAGCGTTAATATCAGAGAAAAGAAAGAAAGTGCAAGTGTTTGTGAAGCTGAGAGGAAGCCATTCCTGAAATTTTAGCGCTGCAAGCTTTCTGGTATGGAACTTTGATCAAAGAGGTAAAAATGCGTTTGATAGCTTTTTCAATCATCAAAAGAAGGTCGATTTCAGAAGTAAAATAAAAAAAAAATAAGCGTACCTCGTCAACGAGTGATATCTATAGTAGAATTGCACTGGCAACATTATGTTCAAGAAGCTGATTATCCATACGTAAAACGCCATCGTGAATACTCGATACGGCCTGCCCAGATGCCCCGCAAGACCTTCCATTTTTATCATAAATACTCCATCTGTCTCTTTGAACTTCTGCAATTAAATTAGATGACGTTTTATACGACCAAAGGTGACCATACCATCCACATGAAATTATCGACCGCCCAGTAGATCAGATCGGTGGAACAGCAAATCAGGAGCATATTTTGGTAATTTTTCAGAGCTCCAGAGGTCTTAAACAGGACCAAATATAGCATCAAAAAAGATAAAATGCCTCCGCCGAGCGATGTCACAGTGTAATTTAGTAGCAGAATTTTAGACAAGTTGCCAAGTTCATCGTATGGCTCGACAAATACCGTAGCGTTATCAGAACTGATATCCCAAGCATATGGATTTTCTTCACAAGGAGCAGGACGAATAGTTAATGACATTTCGACAAGGAAACGACCATATGCAACGAGTGTAAAGACCGAAAGAACTTGCACAAGTAGCCGAAGACCTTAGTATTGCAGGTATTTGTAAGGAACCAAATTTTACAATTCAAACAGGCGCATGAAACTGCTGTTACATTTTTTGCCGTGGCATTCGACTACAAAGTGAATCATTTGGACGAGTTTGTAGCTACGTTTTGCAACATGTAGACATAGCAGTACTTCAACAGTTCGTTCAAATATCAGATAGTCTAATGACGTTCACGAATTCCTTTGACATGTTTGTATGAATTGTAATGATAAAAAAAGGAAAGGACTTACATTTTGTTGTATATTTTTTTTTATTCCGGCAGTTTTGCGGCCAATCAAGGTTGGGGTCCACCGTCCACGTGCAGTGCCGTGGATACGAAGATCCCTGCCGTTGTGGTTTTCATGCTCTTTGACAATTTGGTCTTAAAACGAAGCCGGGTTGACATTTTTTAGCCGGACCGTGTTTTGGACCGCACCGGGGACTCGGCAGGCCGTCAGGCCTAAAATATCCGGTCCGGGCCGTGTTGACATAGCCCAAAAATTTAGTAGATTGGACCGGCAGGTCGGGTTCCTTTATTCATAATATTTTTGAGCTACCGAAGACCCGATGACCGTGCTTGCCAATAAATCGAAATGATTTTGGAATCACGGATTTTTTCTTACTTACCAACACTGCTTACTGTTGACATCTTAATCCAAATCGGGGAGATACTTGCATTCATTTTAAGACGGCACTGGGCTCAAGATGCAAGAGCACCGTAATTTTGTTGAAGCCCTACTTTTAATCTAATAAATAGTGGATTTAGAAGGCCTTATCTAAATTCCTCAAAAAATAAAGATCCCCCGAAGACGATACGATCACGATTCCCAACATTTTCTTTAATTTTACAGTATTCTTTTGCATCTTTCTTTTGGCTACTTGTTACAGGTAAAAAAAGTGGTTGATTAAAGTTATAAATAGAAGGACAATCCCCTCTTTAAAAAGTACAAAAAATATATTATGCATCTCACGCAACAGTTCAACGCCACGGCTTTTTATGAACCAGAAACAAAATGAAGGAACTATTAAATAAGGTATCAAGATCTAAATCCAATCAAGGGTGGTGCAAAAGTAAGCTGTAAACTATAGACAGTGACATCAAACGCTAGAGATATCGTCATCGTTTTCAAACCCACTTTCGTGTGTTATTATTCACACATCTGAATAGTGGAACGTCGAAAGCCCAATTTTCATCTCTTTTGTTGTGTTATGGTTTATCAACATAAGGTCCAAACTAATCGTTTCTTCTTGCACTTTTGGTCCACCAGACATGGTCTATACGTGGTGGTCTTAATGAGGTCAACTCCCTACACTTCTGCCAAAATGGTATTAAAAGATAATCTCATAGATCTGTTTGCGATGCGACGCTGTTGCAGCTTAGGCATATTGTATGTATTTGCTACTTCTCTTTGCATGGGTTGCGGCCGTCCCGCCTTGGGCGTTACAGTATTTAAGACGGAGCCGTCTTCTCTGCAGGAGTTCATTCCCTTCGCTCCATGCTCGCGTTGGCGGAGTAATCTTGTGAAGCCCTTCTTTCGAGCGATATTATTCTTCAATTCGCATACTGGGACGCGAAAAACCCATTGCCATTCTTTGGAGTCTGTTGAAATTTGTTGACTTTCGCTTAGACCCCGGTTAAAATGTTGTACTCGGTCAGGCGCGAACTGTATCTGCTAATGAGGTCAAGTTTCCTTCATGACAATCAGAATGACATTAACGGTTAATCTAATTGGACGCCAAAATAATTTTTTTAAATGCTGTCATTTTTGTTACAGCTTTTTTTAAAGCATTGTTCCCGGTGCTCCCGTAGGCGGCGCCGCGTTACATTGCAGTCAACAATTAAAAAAATGTAGACGGTCTTTTTAGAAGCGAATTTCGAAGAATAGCTCTTTTTGTGGCTGCGAACTTTTTATCGTATCGTGGTACAGTACATGACGTGGCTGTTTAATATCTCATCTGACTCTACACAACTGGCATACAATACTTCGGCATGCCTTCCACAGTATTGATAATTTGTTGTAGCCCTAAGAAACTGGACTCAAGGCAAACGAACCTATTGTCGTTGCCCTATTAAGTACATATTTATTATAGTGAAACACCAGATCTCATGGGCGTATCGAAGGGCGCGAATCGCCCTCAAAGTGCCGAGAAAATTTTTTACATATTATTTTTTACCTACCCCCTCCATTCGACGTTCATTGCAACGACCTTTGGGATCTATGCATTAGAATTTCAAGTTTCGTCGAGTCGCGACCTGAAACTGCACCTTTTTCCGGTTGTTTGTTTTGTATTCTCCGTTCGCCTACAATTCCCACATCGGGGATATTGAACCCCTTATTGCTTCTAAGAATTTAACAGCGCGTGCTTGACACAGCCGTAGTGTAATGTTGAACTAACACAAATACTGTCTGTAAATTGTAATAAACACGGGCTCTTGTTTCTTTTTCTTCAAAGAGTTATCGTTGTGGGCTTACAGGGATGTCGCAGCTAACGCTCCACACATCTCCATACTCGGAGAATCCGTACGCCTGGGATGTTCCTGATGAGAGTGGGGACTTTGCGACGGAAGCACACGATGAACTGGGAAGACTATCGACCGTTTTTCTCATCAATGATATTGTGACTTCCACAGTCGGTGGTGTCCTATCATGTTTGCTTTTATATCTGGTGTTGTATCGAACAACCGGACCTCTAAAGCAATATCGCCAAATGCTGTTAATTTGCTGCTTGACAGACACGGTTTATTGGTTGGTGGATAACTCGATGTGGATGGTAAGACCGATAACTTGAATTAAAAACTTTGCTTGCAGAAACTCAAGCAGAAAGATGGGGTGTTCATGCTGAAAATGGAAGGAATTGGAGGTCTCATGCGCTGGCCCTATCGAGTTTTTCTTGTCGCATTTTATGTGTGGGTGTTATGCTTCGTGAATGTAATCTTGCCAGTTCAACTCTACTTTCGGTATTATTCTTTAGTCAAGTAAGCAAAAGCGTACGAAGTTACTAAACTAATTTTCCGACATTGCCAAATATTCAATAAATTTCAGAAACCGCATTCTGTCTGGCACCAGAACGATTGGTTTGTGCGCAGTGGCTGCATTGGTCACTTTCCCTGTCTTTGCTTGCACTTACTTGAGCTTTGGCTGGTCCTCCAAAGAGCAGCCTGGTTTCAATTATGGAACTCTATGGTTTAAAGAATTCCCAATGCCACAGCTTTTGTTTGGCGATGCTGTAAGTTTACCTGCCTTCAATTAAAAATCAATCTAAAGGATACCATTATTCTTTATTTCTTTCAGAGGTCACCTTACCAAAAAGGATTTTTGTACATTGGAGGTGGAGTTATTACCGCATCGTATGTTTTGGTGATGTTTATTGGCTATCGGACACTACAAAGAATACGAAACATGAATGACTCCTATTCAGAAAAGACACGAAGATTGCAAAGACAGCTTACTAATTTCATGATTGTACAGGTGAGCTAAGGCCTTATCGCCTACAGTAATTTCTAAAGTTAGGGAAAGACTTGACCCACTATTTTGCTCTGAGTCAACTGTTCCTTTCTCCATCCAATTTCTGATTTTATCAATGTATTTTTTTTAGGCAGTAATACCAATGTTCACCTCTGTCCTTCCTGTCATGGTAATTGTCAGTCCATCCCTATATTACACGGAAGATGACCGTCTTTGCTTATACAGTGTCATCTTAATCAGTTGGATTCCGGTCATCAATCCGATAATCACAATCGTAGTGATTGTCCCATTCCGCAGGATTGTGTTTAGAGCGGTTACATCGAAGATTAGTACTGTCCATACGCTGTCGGATACGTCAACGATCCGTCATCAAAGCGCACCAGAAAATATGATAATCTAATTTGGGGGTCCGGCTACAGTAGTCTATTGTCAATTTTACCAGCAATAAATTTTTGAGTATCACCATGAATAACGATACACTGAAACAAGGGCTTGTTGGTATTCTGAGAAGACCCTATCATGCTTTGCAATCACTTCCTAGTGTTGTAACAAGTTGGGCGTGGGTTCGAGTGGAGCACGTGTAATGCGGTTCCCTATTCTAGGTCTATCTGGAGTGCCAAGCCCAAATGCGACTACACAAACAATGTCAATCGAATAAATAAGCTCTAGGCGACAACGACAATTCCCGAACTGGCAATTTTAGACCCTGGGTGGGCTGAGCTTGACCATACTATACAATAGGCGCAGTAAACAAATAGAAGTATATTTATTGACCAAATAACAACTGTCGCTGCGGAAAAAACATTGACAGAATTTCAAACTCGTTCATTGGAAGATTTCCATTCTTTTATAACAATGTGTCGGTCATTCCACTACATTCTGTACTTTTGGAACGCAACCGATCTCCACGACTTTTTGAATTCTTTTCGGTTACAAATTTTAAGTTTTTACAGAAATGACGTTCTCTGTAAACAAGCCACATTTTTGTAGGGTGAAGTCCACGAGATACTTTTCAATACGATTCTTTTTTGTAAAAGTAATTGTACTCACTTCATGGGAGATTAGATCCAAATGTGCGGTTGAATAAGGCTGGGAACGATTACGAAGGTATTGGTCATGAAAGTGTTGAGGAACTTAATTTGTAGTAATTCGGGTGCTACAGTCGGCCAACGAAAAAACAGAGATACAACGTTCAAATCGAGTATAAAATGATGACTTGCAAATCGATTTTTTTTTGTCTTTCGTCTCTTCACAAGACTGGTCTATCGTCCGAAAAATTGTTGAATATCTCGATGAACCTCTCCCATTGGACAGGAGCGGACTGGGCCAAAAAAATGTAAACGGGCCGGAGCAACCACTACCGGTGGCTGGCCTTCTGAGTATGCTTTCGTAGAATTTCTCTTCTGTTAGGTAGACAAGAAAAAATTGTCTAGCCGAGTAGGCAAGGATACCGGGTAACTGTCTAGCGGCTATGCAAATAACCACTTTGCGTGCAGCAAGAAGAACCGTGGAGATTCTAGTCCATGTTTGGAAATCAGACAACATAAAATATATTCAAATGATGGTTTTGGCAATTACATGTTGCGAATCAAGTTTTCATAGGTGTACAAGTGGCATGAGTTGAGTTTACCCGGCATCTTTAATGGTTCAAAAACAGTTTTTTGATATGACTTTGAAAAGCAATAGACGAATTAAATAGATTCGTAACAAGGACTAAGTAGATTCGTAAATTCGTAACAGTAGATTCGCAACAGGTAACGATTACTGTAACAAGGATTTGCCAATATCATACCGGGGTACAGTGAGGGACCTGATCCAATGGCAAAAACGTCTCATTTTGCATCCCGGAAGGGACCAAAATGACTCCAAACCCTTCCCTTCTCTAAGCTAAAAACTCCGCTTTGAAAAGCGCGCCCTTTCCTTCAAAAATGATTGGAGATATTGTGGTCCCTTCCGGGATGCAAAATGAGACGTTTTTTGCCGTTGGATCCGGTCCCCCACTGCAGAAAAATCGTAATTCTTCTTGGTGAATGTCGGCCGCCCGCGAAATAGTTGCCCGCAATTCTAGCGCCGATACAAACGACCACTAGGGATCTCCGGTCACAACATTTAAAAAAGAACCTGCCAACCTATACATACTATGTAGGTATCAAGTAAACGAACCATTTGCTTATATTGTTTATATTTGCACGCAATGTTTTTTATTTATAACATTACAGTTGGTAGCCTTTTTGAAACGTTGCGTTAAGTGCATCTATATACATAAAGTGCAAACGATGCGGAACAATTCCGCAGTAAACGCGGATTATGTTTTGTCCCTGTCCACGCGCTCATTTGTACCGAAGCCCCTCCTTTTTGCAAAGCGTAATGCGTTTCGCACAGCCTACATTTTTTCAATATTTGCACTTACTCGGTAATTTGTTGCTGCGGTGTCTATGGCCTCGGTTGAGCCACATACGGCCCCATACGAGAACAATCCGTTTGCCTGGGATGTTGCGGACGAGAACGGAGATCTACCTGCCGAACCCTATAATGAGCTGAGATTTTTATCCAAACTTCTATTCGTTAATTACACCATTACCTCAGTGGGTGGAGGAATTGCCTCGTTTTTGTTGTTATATTTAGTGCTATTTAAAACGCTGGGAACGCTGAAGCAATATCAGAACATGCTGCTGATATGTTGTGCTACCGATTTGTGGTACTGGTCGGTGGATAATTTCATGTATATGGTAAGGAGTGAGATTAGTCACAAATAGAGGATCCGAGAAATCTTTTTTACCGATTTTTTGGCCAGTTAGTCAAAAGCCATGTCTTTTCCAACGAAGCTGCCCATTTTAAGCATTCTGAATTTTTTGAAGCTAATTTTGACCGGTAATATTTCGGTAAATTTTCAAAATAACTTTTTTCCGATAAATCTTTGGACGATAAGCCAATTTGAAGCGTCCCTTCTCGATAGCATGGCTCTGGGCCGGTTTTCCATAATATTCGAGGCCCGGAACCACTCTTGTTAATTTGGGACCGGGCAGGAATTCAGCCACGCTTACATATAGTATAATATAGTTGACATGTGGCATTACTACATAAGACCTTTCCAACTCAGACACAGATTAATCTTGTTTTTTTTTTTGAAAGTTTGCGTTGGCGGTTGCCACGCGCTTATTTGAAGGCTATGCTAATACTCCATTTCGCCTCCTCAGCATAACGAACAATCCTCTATCTTAACAATGATTTATCATAATCGTGAATGGATGTTTTCCAGAAGCTCGGCGAAAAAGACGGAGTTTTGATTGTACAAATGGATGGACTGGCCGGCTTCCTGAATCATCGTTATCGCATCCTAACAATATCAACGTATATGTGGACCATCTGCATGGTAAATGCAATGCTGCCTGTACAGCTTTATTTCCGGTATTACTCTTTGAGCAGGTATAAAATTACAACCTTGCGATATATGTAAAATAAATCCAGGAACGCGTTTCTTTCAACTAGACAAACACTTGGACTGTCATTCCTTTCGTTGCTCGCCACTTTGCCCGAATTTATAGTCGCGGTGATTAGTTTCAGTACATCGCCGATGGAGCGGCCAGGATTTAATTATGGGACTCTGTGGTTCAAGGAATATCCACTGCCTCCGCTTGTGTTTGGCGATGTGGTAAGCTTTCTCTACTTTTTTCTCCGGACTCCCGGCATTGTTAGGTAAAGACAGGTTTCCTTGTATAGGAATTTTCTTCTACTGTAACTTCAATAACGAACAATCATTTGAGCGTTCCAACTACCATAAGGCGCTATTTTTGTACGGCGGTCTAGTCATCTCTGTTTCACACCTCCTCTCAACAGTTATTGGTTACAAAACGTGGTGTCAGATACGCCAAATGCATGACTCATACTCGGAAAGGACACGTAGGCTGCAGAAGCAGCTGACTAACTTTATGATTGTGCAAGTAGGTGTTGTATGAAAAAAAAAATTATTGTTTCAACTCCTGACCTCTGTTTAGGTGGTAACTCCCCTTTTTATCTCGGTCATCCCAGTCATGACGATAGTCATTCCGTCGTTTCTCTTCATCGATACGGGTCGAATATGCCTCTACTCGGCGCTTATGTTCAGCTGGATTCCCGTGTTCAATCCGGTCATTACAATTACTGTAATTGTCCCATTCCGAAGGTTTGTGCTCGGTGTGGTGACAAGGAAACGTGGACTTGTACATACTGGACATACAAAATCCGACTCGCCGAATCCTCGATCGGCGACGGATTTAGTAGTAGCGTAAAAATGTAGTAAAAGATAAACTTTGTTACTGTATTGTAGTACGTATATGTACCATTGTATTATATGTACAATTGTTATTGTGTGTGCTATATACTTTGACTTCAATCTACGAAAAGACTCAACGAAAATTACCTTCCTTTCCGGGTCCTTTGTTAAATCAAATATGTATGTTATGGGAATAAAGTATGGCTACAAATTTGAATATAGTAATAAAAAAAATATATATATTAAAAATAAATGTAAAATGGGTACATACATACACATAATATATGGGATATTTTCTTGAAGTTTCCCCAACGGCCAGTAAGACATCAATGAATTACATTGTGTCGTGACTCTATCCTGACAGTACATTCAAAGAAGTCCAGTATTTGGAAGTCATTCTGGGCCTTCGACCTGAATTTTGGTGTTCTGATAAGACGTCTTACAATTACCCCAAAAAAGCTTTTTTCAAGATGATTAAAGAGAGATCCTTCTTTGTACATGTACTTGGTCTGAAAAACGTATCCTTCCCCTTCTCCTTGTTCTTCCCCGATTGCAACCCTCGAATTTTTACAGCGTAGGTTCCACAACAATTGCAAGAGTAATATATCTTTGGAATTGTCCCTACAACTAGCCCAACCGCTTTTTTGGAAAATTTGCCATGAAAGGAGTACAATTACTTCTCTAAAAACATACCGTATTGAAAGTTATATCTTGGGCTTTACCCTACAAAAATGCAAGTTGTTTACAGAGGGCGTTGCATTCACGGAAAGCGCTCAAACTTTGTAGCACGTTTTAACGCCATGATAACAAATCTTTTCGCAGAAATTGTCATCGTCTCCTTTTTGAGTACTGTTTGGCTACATTTCATCCAATTGTGTCAGGGATTGACGTGATGCTGACAAGGAATGGACTTCGTCCGTTCAACAATACTGTTTAATAGAGAGTCATCTTTAACGTTTGACAAAAAGAGCTTTGATTCGATGTCAAAGTTAGCACCGGAGTACTATTCCTTTCTTTCCACAGAAAGGAGAAAATCTCGGCCAGATGGAACAGGCGCGACCTGTATCTGGGCCTGAGTTCGAATCGATGATCGCCACTGCGCGTCGTTGTCGAGAGGCCCGGGGAGACAACGCACACGAAAGACAAGAGCTTGAGATCAAGTGATTTATTGAGTGAAAAGCGGCCCTTATATAGGGAAATCCCACGTAGGAAAGTACAATCAAATTTGAATAATAAATGATGATTTCCGTGGGAATTCGGGCTCGCAGTTCGGTCGTTCCGCCTCACAATTTTGGCGGATGAAATTTATCTTCAAACAAACCTTATACTAGGCGGGTAAAAAAAGTAGGCTGTGCCGTGTTTAACGGTGATGAAAACCGCACAGACTGTAGTAAGATATTCAAAAATATTGCAACAGCAACGACATATCGAAACGGATATATATGGCTGTGATTAAATATTTGAGGACTGGAGTCCAGCAAATCATGATAAATAGTAATCGTGGTAAATAACACAAAAAAAGCAACTATTATTGATTGGACATAAAGATAGTCTAATTTACCTTTGACCTGCCGAATTTAATCCTCCTTTTTTTTTACTGATGCAAACGATGTACTTTGGTATCGGATAACAGATTATGCCCAAAATTTGTTTGTCTGCATGGAAAAGATGTAGGATTGCAACCGTTTAGAGTACGGTACCTACTAGAGAGATTATCTATTTATGACGTTTTTATTAAAATGTAGGGAAGTTGACCTTATTAGGACTGGAAAATTTTGTTGCCAATCCGACTTTATTTTGGTTTTTTCTGGGGTTAAAACAAATCGGGTCAGACTCCAAAGAACTCTCGCTATATACGCATTTTTAGTGAGCTGGATCAAGCGTGTAAGCTAATTCACGGTGGTTTTCACAAATTTATTTCTGGTAAAATTTATTTTCGACTTCAGTCATTAGTTCCCTCAGATTATCGCATTCTCCGGTCCGCTTGTATGAGACGTCGGTCCCGTACCCTTCGACGCAACCGCTCTGAAGACGATCTTTCGGAACGGAACGATTACAAGGACTGTGATTATCGGGTTGACGACCGGGATCCAGCTAATGATGATTACACTGTAGAAGCAGAGCCGGCCGTCGTCTGTATAAAACAGGGATGGGCTGACAATTATCATGACGGGAAGAACCGAGGTGAACAGGGGTATTACTGCCTAAAAAATACATTGATAAAATCAGAAGTTGAATGAAGAAAGGAACAGTTGACTCAAACTAAAATCTTGGGTCAAGTCTTTCTCTAACTTTAGACCAATTACTGTGGGCGATAACGCCTTCCCTTACCTGTAAAATCATAAAATTAGTAAGCTGTCTTTGCAATCTTCGTGTCTTTTCTGAATAGGAATCATTCATATTCCGTATTCTTTGTAGTGTCCGATAGCCAATAATCATCGCCAAAACATACGAGGCGCCAATAACTCCACCTCCAAGGAACAAAAATCCTTTTTGGTAAGGAGACCTCTGAAAAAATATGGAAAATAATGGTATACCTTGGGTTGATATTTAAAGTCAGCCGGTGAACTTACAGCATCGCCAAACAAAAGCTGTGGCATTGGAAATTCCTTATACCAAAGAGTTCCATAGTTGAAGCCATGCTGCTCTTCCGATGACCAGCCGAAGCTCAAATAGGTGCAGGCAAACACAGGGAAGGTGGTCAGTGCAGCCACGGCACACAAACCAATCGTACTTGCGCCCGACAGAATACGGTTTCTGAAATTTATTGAGTCTTAGACATTGTCAAAAATGGTCGAATAACATTTGAATTATGCCTACCTCACCAAAGAGTAATATCGAAAGTAAAGTTGAACTGGCAAGATTGCATTCAAGAAGCATAGCATCCACACATAAAATGCGATGGTAAATACTCGATACGGCCAGCTCATTAGGCCCGCAACACCTTCCATTTTCAGAATGAACACTCCATCTTTCTGCTTGATCTTCTGCAAGCAAAGTTTTAAAACGCACTTCGCGAGCTGTGGAAGGAGGGTCTGCCCTAGAAATTGACCCCCACTTTTTTTTGTCTTACCTGATGACATATAGGATTCTAAAAAACTTGGTGAATTTTTTTCGAAAAATTCGTCATCATGATCGAGATATGACGTATTTATTGAATTTCGCATAATGTGTTATATTGTACTGATTTATTGTCTAAACATCTCAGGACTGAGTATATATACGTTATTGGCCATGCTGAACAACTTTGTAATTGACCCGAAGTTTGCCAGGTTACTGTAACATACCGTAACGCCCATGCTCAATCAAAGAATCTCGATTTTCTCGATTTTTTTCAATAATTTTCTCGGATTTTTTTTCCATTTTTGGAATCTGCATCAAATTCTGCATCGGATAGGCTATATGCGCATCTCCAGATAGGTGTACAAAAATGTCGTGGCGCAACCGGTAGTGGGTCGGACTACCATTCAAAAGGTCCCGGGTTCGAGTCCGGGTGGAAGCAAAAATGCTCAAACGCGCTGGAGATTGTCCCGAAACAGTTGTAATCTATTGGAACTGTGGTAAAAATAAATAATAATTAACATTTTTCCCTAAAAAGGCAAAATTTTGGACTTTACAAAATTTTTGAAAATCGTGATTTTTGTGGGCCCAAATCTGCCGAAGAAATGAAAATTTTTTGTTACCGCCTTTTTTGTTTAGAAACAACGCAGGGCACATATAAAGACTATTCCTCAGAGGATTTCGTTCAATTTTGCCCAAAACACCAAAAAATTTTCGTATTTTGCCATTTGACAAAAAATTGAAATAATGATTTTCAGGCGTTCTTACGCGGAAACTTGTCCAATTTTTCTAGAGCAGTTTTTTTCGCTGCCTTCAAATAGCTTTCTAATAGCCGCGAAAATCTTCCACAAAAAATTTTACATTAAAAAATTTGTAGATATTCACATATTTCATGATGTTACAGTATTCAATCTTGTAAAATTTGCTAAAAATTCGACTCCCCATAGTGCAAAACATGTGTATCCACGTTTGAATGACGTTACTTCGGTTTACTGGGTTCTGGCGGGGTTCTCCGATTAAAACAAAAAAGTGCAACTTTTTGGTGTTTTGGGCAAAATTGAACGAAATCCTCTGAGGAATAGTCTTTATATGTGCCCAAAAATCACGATTTTCAAAAATTTTGTAAAATCCAAAATTATGCCTTTTTAAGGAAAAATGTTAATTATTATTTATTTTTACCACAGTTCCAATAGATTTCAACTGTTTCGGGACAATTTCCAGCGCGTTTGAGCATTTTTGCTTCCACCCGGACTCGAACCCGGGACCTTTTGAATGGTAGTCCGACCCACTACCGGTTGCGCCACGACATTTTTGTACACCTATCTGGAGATGCGCATATAGCCTATCCGATGCAGAATTTGATGGTGATTCCAAAAATGAAAAAAAAATTCCGAGAAAATTATTGAAAAAAATTGAGAAAATCGAGATTTTTTGATTGAGCATGGGCGTTACGGTATGTTACAGTAACCTGACAAACTTCGGGTCAATTACAAAGTTGTTCAGCATGGCCAATAACGTATATATACTCAGTCCTGAGATGTTTAGACAATAAATCAGTAAAATATATCACATTATGCGAAATTCAATAAATACGTCATATCTCGGTCATGATGACGAATTTTTGGAAAAAATTTCACCAAGGTTTTTAGAATCCTATATGTCATCAGGTAAGACAAAAAAAAGTGGGGGTCAATTTCTAGGGCAGACCCCCATTTGAGCCTGCTTCAGCAACTCGCGAAGTGCGTTTTAAATCCAAAAATTCGGCCTTACCATCCACATAAAGTTATCCACCAGCCAATAAACCGTGTCCGTTAAGCAGCAAATTAACAGCATTTGGCGATATTGTTGTAGAGGTCCAGTTGTTCGATACAGTACTAAATATAAGAGCAAAAACGATAGGATACCTCCAGCTATGGAGGTCACAAAATAATTGATGAGAAGAAGGGACGAAAGGCCTCCCAGCTCATCGTATTTTTCGGTTGGAAAGTCTCCACTCTCGCCAGGAACATCCCAAGCATATGGATTCTCCGCATATGGAGACGTGTGGATTGATATATGCGGCATCTCTAAAAATAAGCGACTGTAACTTTTGAAATCAAAAAGGATATTATAAGAGTCCACGTGTATGGCAATTGACAGACAATATTTGGCCCATCATTACTACAGATTTTGAATAAGCAAAAATGAGTTCAAAATTCCCCGCTTCTTACGAATTGTAGTTTGCAAGTAGGCAGAATACAAGACAAATAACAAAAAAAGTAGAGACTAAGATCAAAGTTTGACAAGGCCTCAAATACCAATACATTACAAAGATTACAAGTTTCAGAGACCATTGGAATGGCGCCACGCCCCGAATTTTTGGGTCGACAACACAAAACCAATCGATACGAGGTGTGGGATTGGTGGAGACGGAAAAAATGATATAGGAGGTGCATACGAGGCCTAGCAAAGCCGTTGGATGCTCATCAGAAGACCCGATCATCATTATTTCTATTTCTACACTTTTTTTCAAAATGAAAGGCTCCAGGATACCGCCTCGAGACAATCAGAAGCACTTTAGATCACTGGATCCTCCAACAGCGCTTATAGGGCGCCTGAGAGCTCAGCGGATGCGAGCATGGAAAGCACGGGAACCTTTAAAAAGCTGCAACAATTGGGCGGCCTATTAAATTAACCGTTAACTTTATTTTGGTTGATGTGAAGGGAGCTTTGCCACATTAACTTTGCCGCACAAATATAGGTTGTGTCTGACTATGTAAAATGCAATAGAAGTGCAACGAAACAAGTTACAACTCCCTCCAAAGAACATGTTGTGAGTTTTTATGTCCCACTAAGCAAATGGAAAAGTATTTATAACAAAGAGTGCAACAAGATTACTCCGCCAATGCGAGCATTGAGCGATCGCGACAAGCATGCCACCCTGGCTCAAATACCGTAATTTCAAAATGCCGGAGGTACGACAGCCACTCTTGAAGAGAGAATTGAACCACTGTGCCCTTGAGAAAGCTGTAACAAGGTGCGCATTATAACATAGTTAAGAGCATTATAGTGTTTGACTCGATGAGATTATCCCATTAATGCCATTACGACTATATGTAGGGAAGTTGACCTCATTAGGACCGGATGCAGGCCGTGTCTGCTTGACGAAAAGTGCAAGCGGAAAAGGTGAACTTAAACCTTACAAGTAAAACATGACTTAACCCAAAAAATGTGAAGAAGGTGTTTATGACGTTCCACTATTCAAATGTGGGAATAATAAGGAATAATAACACTTGAAAGGAGAAATTCAAAACGATTACGGTTCTTTCGTTTTATATTTAGAAATTTGGACATCTCAACCGGTTGGATTAAAGTGCTGAGATAGGGTGCCCCGTAAGAGATAGGGAGGGTGCTTGCTCATTGTTGGGTCGTCGATTTTGGCGAATCCCTGTGAGCTTTGCAGCGCATTATGGGGAATGCTGAATATGGAGTTCTGAAGTTCAGGCACTGATCTTCTAAAACGTATATTGTCGTATCCTGTGTAGTGGTGAAGGAGTGGATGTCAGCCACTGATCGAAAGGATAATAAATATAGGTTTATTATCAGATAGAACTAACACGAGATAAATACGGAGATAGCATACACTGAATAATGACAAATAACCACTGAAGTCATACAGGGTGCGCCAATAAAATCTGGACTAATATTTTTGCTTGCCCTGCGGGCTGAAACAGTACGAGAACAAAGTGGGCGATTGTGTACACGTGTAATACGTCCAAGAAGCTATCTTTAAAGTTTCAGACAAAATAATCGTCTACGGGACTTGTTTTGCCATTATAAGTGCTTACAACTAAAGCGCCTGAAACACGGACCCCAAATTGGTCAAAAAATGGTTGCGCTATCTTTACCGTTTTATGCTATGGGCTAAAATTTACTTTTTCTGATAGAGCCCTGGTCGGTTTTTATACACTGAAATTGATCTTGCCTCATTATGACAATTAGGCTTTTTACAGCTCGCCAAAGTTGGTTTAAAAACGGGCCCTTTTTCGCGAAAACTTCCGTTAAATCAATGATTTTTATGTAGAAGTTTCCCTGTGTGATTCCAAACATGTTAAGAACCAGAACTACTTTTGTAAGGATAACCAGAGTCTGCCTAGTCGCCTTTCAAAGAGGATTTTTCTATCTGGTGCCTCTGGTGATGAAATAGTGACCGTAGTGGCATAATTTACTAAATGCTCGCTATTCGAGTGACCTTGGACTAGATATTTCTAAAAGTGATTTGGCTACATTAGCATGTATCCAGTGTACAACGCTATGTTGATTTTTACGCTTAAGGCCTTTCCAACTGGTTACAAACTTCCAAAACGTTTCAAGTCCCGAATGACCGTGCCTTGAATTCCCCCCATGAACTTTTATTTATGCAGAAACTGTCCCCTTGTATGTGCGGATTTTCTTTTACACTATAACAATTGTCTATGTATACACTCTGTAATCACGGAATTTTGGAGCAAGACGGGCTATAACCTGGCGTTGAGATCCTTAAAAACATAAAAATCCAAATTTTTGGGCCTTTTTTTGTTTCCGCCACCAACGCCGCCAGATCGGCCGCCAACCATGATTCCGTTTGCTGTTACGAAGCTAACAGCACGTACTTTATATACAATAAATTTGAAGAACGTCAGTCCCCCCTAGCAGAAATAATGGAGGAATTAATATCCCAGTCATCATCTGGAAAAAAAATTTCTGCACCTCCAAAAACTTTTGATTATTTTTTCGCTCTTGCAATAGGCACCGACCTGGGCATTATCGTTGCTTTACAGCACGGTTGTTACCTTTTCTAAAAGTGCTAAAAGTTTCCATTCGTAGGCCGTCTGAAAAAGGCTACATGGAATTTAGTTTAGTCCAGATTTTATTGGCGCACCCTGTATTTCTCCTCCGAGCTTCAGGAAGCTTCGAATGAAACGGAATGCCAATACAGTAATCGTAGTTTATGTTTCGGAACTCAACATGTATACCAAGGCTTCATAAAATCCACCTGCTACCCACACTGCCCGATGTTGTAGAGTATACGATGTTACAAAAAAATTTGCCTGTCGACTTGAAAAATTGCGCAACCTTAGGCAAGCTTACTAGACGTGAAAATAAGATGCACGAAGGCTTAGGATCCTATCGGCGCTGTGACACAGGCGTGGGTACCCTCGTGGCGGCATAACCAACAAAAAAATTTATATTGCACTCACGTTTTTTCGGACCCATTTCCCAATCATATGTATAAAGTGTTGGCTGCAGCTGTCGATTATAAGTAATTTACGCTTGTATATGAACTAATGGATGATAATTATCGACGTGTTAGTTTTGTGCCTTGAGATATATGTGCATACTTTATTTAGTCTCAACGGTCCTTAATTTTGTTTAGGCTTCTTACAATGATTTGAAATTGAACTGGCGTCTGTTGTAAATGTATTTTAAAGAATTTAATTTTCTTCAACCCTTCAATCAACCATTTATTTATTAGCCGCCTGTAACAATTGGCCACAATAAAAACGCAAAAGATACTGTAACAATCCTAGACCTCATGCTGATTGTACATGTCATTGGTCTGCTGATAGACGCGGATGAAGGTCGCTCTCTTGGCCAGCTCCTTCAACTTCGTAGCTCCCGTATAAGTGCAGGCTGACCGCAGACCTCCCAGCATGTCCAAAATCGTATGATTAATGTTTCCACGGTACGGAATCGTGATCGTCTTGCCTTCGGAGGCTCTGTACTCGGCCACAGAGCCGTGATGCTTCTTCATGGCAGTGTCGGAGGACATTCCATAGAACAATTTGAACTTCTTTCCGTCCTTTTCGATGATCTCTCCTCCGCTTTGATCATGGCCGGCAAACAATCCACCGATCATGACAAAGTCAGCACCACCGCCAAACGCTTTAGCGACATCTCCGGGGTTGGTGCAACCGCCGTCCGACATGACGTGGCCATTCAGGCCATGAGCGGCGTCGGCGCATTCAAGGACGGCGGAGAGTTGAGGGTAGCCAACTCCGGCCTTTTTTCTGGTGGTGCAGACAGATCCTGGACCAATTCCGACCTGAAAAAATGTACAGTCGGTGATTGATTTTGCATTCTTTAATTTTTTACGATTTTTTGATACTCAATTTTTGTATTTTCAAGCTTTTTTTTCAGCCAAAATGTTTGAGATTTTTCGTCCGATTTGTCAATTTTTCGTTTTCCAATGGCCTTAAAAACATTATCAAATGGTCGAGAAAGATATCTACTAAAATAGAGCATTCCTCTCTTACCTTAACCACATCAGCTCCAGCCAAAATCAGTTCCTCCACCATCTCTCCAGTCACCACATTTCCCGCAAAGATGGTATGTTCCGGGAATGCCTCGCGGACTCTTCGAATGAACGCCACAAAATGCTCCGAATATCCGTTCGCCACATCCAAGCAAATGTAGGACAACTCAGGGATAGCTTCACAGACGATTTTCAATTTTTCAAAGTCTCTTTCGGCCATTCCTGCCGAAATTGCAATATGCTCAAAGACCGGGGATTGTGGGCCCAGCTCGTCGCGGAACTTCTGCCATTCCTCCGGCGAGTAGTGCTTGTGGATGGTGGTGAAGACTCGGTGAGAAGCCAGTTCTTTGGCCACTTCGAAGGTCCCGACGGTGTCCATGTTCGAGGCTACGATGGGGATTCCGGAATAGGTCTTCTTTGAGTTGCGGAAGGTGAATCTGAAAATAGAAAATTGCTCATTTTGAACCTAGGACATTACTCAATTTTTTATAAAATTTCAAATGGATGACATGTGTACCGTGAAAGATCAATCTGTCGGGAAAATAGTGAGCATTCCGTCGCATCGAAGATCGCGTCGCCGCCGAGGAAATGAATTGCGTCGCGGCGAAATCAAACTGTTTTTTAAAATTTCAGCGACGCGATTGGCCCAGCGAAATGGTGTTCATTATTTTCCCGGCATACATATATTAATTTCAGAGATATTCATAGAGCTCTGTAGATAAGAGGCTATAGAAAATGACGAGTGCCGGCCAAATTTTTGTCTTATCTTTTTGAAATCCGCATAAAAGTAGCAAAAAAGGCAAAATTTTCTTTTTCTGGCCAGTCCCAGAAAACTATTCTCTAAGCTGCGCCATAACTTGGATCCAGATTTTAGCTAGTCCTGAAGTTTTTTATGGCTTATTGATAGTCTAGCTCAAGAGAGCTCTGTTCGCCTCACTACTGAAATTCCGGTTTTGCGACCTCTGTATAGGCAACCCTAGGCCGATTTTTTAATACTTTTCAGCCTGCAAAAAAAGAAAGCATATTTTTTGATCCTAGGCCAAAAAACACGTATTTAAAAAAGTATGGGCATTCGTGCCCTCGTATTTTACCCCCAACTTACTCTCTAACCAAGTCGACATCGGATCTGGACTGAAGCGTGGATCTCTTCGGTCTGAGAAGGACATCTCTGAAGTCCAACTTGGGTTCGTTTTCAATTCGAGGCATTGCTGAAAATCGTCGATGAACAGCCGATCGTTTGCAAAAAGCGGAATGATAAACGAAAATGAAAAGAGAAGGACTTTGATCGACGAATGGCAAAAAAATCTCTTCAAATAAGAGCTTTTGTTGTGCAACAGAACCACTACAAGAGGGGGCATCGTAAACGACGGGTAATCCCAAGTGAGGGGAGCAGAAATACAATGACTTTGGGTAATGTCGAACGCTCGAGTGCTGCATCGCTGCGGCAGAGAACGCCGAAAATGTCTTCTGCGTTGATGTTATGAACTACGACTATGACTACAAAAATGATGACAATTGATAGTTCACGCCAGAAACTGCACGTTATTTGCCATCATAAGGTTGTTAAAGCTATTGTATTTGACCATGAAATAAGAATAAATTTATAAAAGTTAAGATGCATGCCCCAAAATGGCTAATACAACGGAGAAATGCATGAGAATGAGCTTTCAATGGCTTGGAAGCCTACAATTATGCATAAGAAGAGCGTTAAATACATGTTGGCCATAAGGATTAAGCAAAGAACGTGGTTATAGGTGCCATTTTAGAACCTTTGGTGTTTGGAATTTTGTATAAATGCCTATGGTCTAACAGACTAGCCTTTGATCAAGTTTTGGTCCAAAAATTGTGGCGTAAACAAGTCTAAGTTTAGCACATGTCAACAAAAAATAGAAGAGAATGTTTGGTTTCACTAAATCCGAAAACAAACGAAATACCACAGAAACAATTAAAAAAGGGCGAAATGTCACATTAATTATCGAAAAGCTAGAATAAATATCAGCCTGTCGAGAAATAATAGGTGTCGTAATTTCACTTTTTCTAATCGTTTCGTATTTACTAAAAATGTTTTTGAGGCAAAAAATTCTTCTTGACGTGTAACAAGGAAGTAGCAACAAGCAAAACACATATTTATTTCTACAAAATCTTCCTTTACCTTATAGACCGAAATCGCCAACTTTTCAACAAAGAGAACCACCAACATTTTAAATTTTTAGACCAAATCTGCAGTAAAAACAAACTCAATGTTTAAAACCCCCAAACAAAACACCGAATTCCCACTCCCAAATCATCTCCCAAACCTCCACCATTTCATAAAATTCCCTTTTTTTTAAATTCAGTTTCGATTTCAAGGCAATTTTGCAAAATTTCGAGGACAAAAACCTACCCGGGTTTTCACTTGGAACGCCGTCTTTTTTCGCTTCGTTTGCCCAGACTTTTTGAACAGCCAAATGTGCGTCCCTTTTGGCCCAAAAACTCCCCTCACCCCTTCCTTAACCGAGCTCTTTCCCCAAGCCGATTACCCCAGGAGAAGTCAGATTTCCCCAGAAAAAAACAATTTTGAAACTAAAAATCCCAAATTTATTCAAATCTCCTCGCCGAATTTAATTTGTGAAATTGAGTCAATCGAAAAATGAAATTGAAAGCTTTATAGTTTCAGTTTTCGAAAAAAGTGTATACACAAAAGATACGTTGATTAATAAGCAGAGCAAATAAAAGGCTTAAGGGAACGTTAATCAGATGACGTTCAGCGAACAACGGTTCCACTAATCTCAAGCTGTATAAAAAAATAAATGATTACAAATTTGGATTGAGGAAATTTCTTTGGGAAAACTTTTGGTTTTTGCTCGTTTAGGTCTCAAGATGTTATTTTTATTTCTTGAAAAGCAATGACGCATGATAAAAAAAGCTTAGATTTGGGTTTGACGCCGGAGGATTTCCATATTTTAGTTGTTGTCTGTCTAAAGAAATTGCTTGTTAAGAAAGTCTCTCAAATTTTTAACACTTTTAGCCAAAAATATTCAAAGTTTTGAGGAATTCTAGTCCGTTCTTAAAGTCGCTGGGGTGGGTTTTGCGACATGCACTATGCGGAAACAAAAGCTTGTTTTGTTATGTGTAATTTTCGGTTTTTTGCATAGTGGTTTTTGAGCTGTCCCATACACCCAGACTTTTTCATAGTGCATACGCCAAAAATCACCAAGCGACTTCCGGATGGACTCGCATAATATATACGGAAGACTAGACTGCAATATTCATAAAAAATGCGGAGGTTTCTTTGCTGAAAAACACAGGGATTCGGCAAATTTTCAGGTTCGAAGTTTAAATAAACTTTAGATTCATCGTTTGTAAAAAATAAAAACTTTATACGGAAAATCAGATGAGAGATTTAGCTGAAACGTCATACTCCATGATAAGTTCATTTTTGCTTTTTTCATCGACCGTGTAAAATCTCGGCCGGCACAGTAAAGTGTAAACCAAAATTTTCTATGACTAAACTGGCAGACCAGGAGAGAAGGGAATTGAAGTGGGACCGACCGGTCGAAAGACAAGACCAAGGAGAGATGTGTTTATTTCGCACAACAGCAGGCAACGTGACTATAAAATGACCAGATCCGTGGCTTTTATAGGGAATGAGCGAACTTGTGCAAATTTGGGTCTAGCGCCAACATGCCCCACTTCCTTTCAACTGGTTTCTCCATGAAGTCGAGGGACCGGGTTGCTGGGGTCGGCTCGGAGAAGGTTTGTTCTACACCTGAAGATTTTCTGGACGACGTCGACTTGGCGGGAGGGTGACGCGGATGTCGCAGAGAGGAGTTGGGTACGGAGCAGTACTGGAGTTCCACGGGGAGATTCGAGGAGGATTCTGTGGAGGTGCCGACCGAGTAGAGGCACTTGCGGATTATGGTTAGAACCTCTGGAATTGTCGACGGGTTTGTGGTGGATGGATAAAGAGGAGGGGGGTTTCTCTTAGGATTTGCAAGTCGGATCGTGGAACCGCGGCCAGAGCGGCTTCTAAGAACACAGCGATATCGCGGGGTTGATCGCGTTACCGGCTCAGCCCCCATATAACTATTGTAGACACAATAGGGGACGATAGGGTTTATTGGACAGACACGAGAATAAGACAACCGCACACGAGAAGCGCGAGACACCGACTTTGGAGAAGAGAAGAAATTGACCTGACAAAGACTTTGTCCTTTGATTTTATGCAAATTCGTGGGAAAGAATTGGCGGTCTCAGTGAAGTCGCCAATAGAATCCTACATACTATAGTGGCTGACAAAATTTTCTTTCCACCTCTATCTCGGGAACCGTTGGGCCTAGAACCTCCAAATTCGGCATAGAAACATTATGGGGCAATCTAACATCACACCCAAAAAATCATATCAATTGATGCACTTTCAGTGCACTTTTTATGCAAACGGCAAAAACGTGATGACAAAATTTTCTTTCCACCGCTTGTAAATCATAAGCCAGAGGGCGCTATGGCATGATTGTGGTGTCGTTGTGATCGCGAAGAAGTCCTCTTTCGATCCGTGGCACAATTTGCAGGACCTTTTGTTTGTTCGCCCTTGGGCGTCTGCCCATCGTTGCCTTGTCCGTTTTCTGCCAAATTCGTGGCCGAGAAGCTCGCAGAAGGCCCAATGAGATGAAACTGCCGTTAAAAAATCTGCTATTTATGTTTGCAACATTGTTTACACCGGCAGTAAAATTAGATTCAATTTAAGTGTAAAATGTGCACTTCCAGGGTTTGCGAAACCCGAAAATCGCTTATGTACAGAATGGAGAAGTCCAAATAACATGCGTTTACTAGACATATGGCGCATTTTAGGTACTATACGACAGTCTGTGTTGAAATCTACTACCTTATCTTACCCCTCTCTGGTCTATGTCGTCTTTAGTAACGCAGGTTGTTGCATTATATGACGGGGAGGAATTGGCATTACTTAAGCATGACATATTGGAACTTTTGACTACCAGACTTCCTTAATACATTGACTTTGTCCTGCCTTTAACGTTTTTGGCACGACAAGTTGCTTGCGCGGTAAGCTTAGGGTTACAAATTTTGTACATGGGGCATGCGGAATCTTTCTTCTGCTCAAACCTAAACGCGACATCAGAGACTAAAATCGTCACTATTTTTTAAGGCTGTAGTATCATTGAAAACATATCAGCAAAAAATGTTACTTGAATTGTCTGCAGTGTTCCCATAACAACGTCATTTTCTGGTAACGAGAACCCTGGAAGTGCACATTTTCCTATGCAACACGCTTAAATTAAATCTAATTCTACTGCCGGAGTAAACAATGTTGCAACCATAAATACCAGATTTAATAAGGGCAGTTTCGTCTCCTTGGGCCTTCTGTGAGCTTTTCTGGCCAAGAGTTTAGCTGAAAACGGACAAGGCGGCGATGAACAGACGCCCAAGGGCGAACAAACGAAAACTATTGTAAAATTGTGACACGGATCAAGAGAGGACTCCTTCGCGAACACAACGATACCACAATCATGCCTTAGCGCCCTCTGGCTTATGATTTACAAACGTTTTTCCAAAGTGGAAAGAAAATTTTGTCATCCCGTTTTTTTGCCTTTTGGATAAAAAGTGCACTGAAAGTGCATCAAATGATATGATTTTTTGGGTATGGTGTTAGATTGTCCCGGGATGTTGCTATGCCGAATTTGGAGGTTCTAGGCCCAGCGGTTCCCGAGATACGAGGTGGAAAGAAATTTTTGTCAGCCACTATACGCTTATTAGACACGGAGGCACTCGATTATAACCGTTAGGTACCGTCGTTACAAAAGGTCTGTTAACCCGAGTTTGAGGACGAAGCGAACGCTGTCTTGAGATCTTTCTTCGACTCCGCACCGTCCACTTTTTCTGTCGCATTTCAAAAAATGAATTGTCGCAGCAAAGGGAAACAATGGAAGCGCGCGCGATCGTAGTGCAAAAAAACGGAAATGCACTCTGCAAACTACCTTTTTCGGCTCGTCAGATCCACGGTGCAATTTTCTTTGACGCAATTTTCTCAACAAATTCACGGTGCGGAGTCGCAGAAAATTCTCAAGACTTTTTGAATGGAGTTCATGGAAAGAAAGGAAAGAGGTAAGAGAAAAGTCCACTCTAAAAGTTGGCGATAAAAGATTTTTTGTTGTATAAACCCGCATCATCTCGGTAAAAATCTGTTTAATAACATCATGTGTAAAAATATCCGATATACATATCGCAAGAGCGTACATACAAAAAATTGGAATGACAAAGTGAAGAAGAACACGTATACACAGTTTCTATTATATTCCCCGTTGGTCTATTCGAAGATGGGCCGGTCGATTTTGTAATTGTTGGAGAAGCTCTCTTTCCGCGGGCCGACCATCTCGATTATCGTGTAATTGGCGTTGGCATCCACTAACTCGCGTTGTGGCATGCATTTTGAGGTCTGAAAAGAGTTGGATTTATCATCAGACAATATCAGATATCTCGTATTTTAGAATGCAAATAGGAGAATTTTTTCAATTCGTATTTTACCCACCGAATTGTCGGATGATTCCTGAGTGGACACGCTTTCCTGCCGCTTCAAACTCTTCCTCGTCGACATCCGTTGTGCCCTCAGGGCATTATAATAACCATCACGGATTGAGGAGAACATAACCGAGACAAATTGACTCCACGCCGCAACCGTGTCGGTCGGTGCATGACTCGCCATGTCCAATATCACACATTCAACTGTACAAGCGTCGGCAAGGGATACCCAGATGTCGGGTTTGAAACCGAAAGACTTCAGGGCAACGTGTTCCTCTCCATAGCGGCGAGACAATCGCTGGACTGTCTCAATGTTATCTACCTGCAAAGGCGGGAGATTAGAGTCAAAGATTCGTGTATACAGACAGCTAAAGATTTAAGTATTATTTTTTGTTTGTATTTATACATTCTATAAACATGCATTTTACAAAAAGTTTATTCCAAGGCCCATCCCTCCTTCCTCGTTTTCTGCAGTTTCTCCTCTGCAAAGAACGTTGAGTATTTCGGCAGCAAATGCAATCTTTGGGCCAAAAATTTAAGGATCTGAAAGGTGGCCTACAGTGAGGGACCTGATTCAGTGGCAAAAAACGCATCATTTTGTATCCGGGAAGTATCAAAAATGTGGCAAAATGCTTGCCTCTCCAAGTGAAAAAGTTTCGTGTTGAAGGGCGCGTCTTTGTTCCTCACAAAAAGAGCGGGCGAATCCGAGTTTTTTTCAGTTGCAGAGGGAGGTATTTTGCCACATTTTTTGATACTTCCTGGATGCAAAATGGTCGTTTTTTGCCACTGGATTCCCCACTGTAGTACAACATTTGTCCCAAATTTGAACAAAATCTGACCACTACTTCCAGCACTACCCTTCAGAATTTTTTCAAGCTTTGTGAAAATCTCAGTACCGTATTATCTCCAGTTCTCCGACGAATCACATGAGACGTCTTTATTTATTCATTTTTTTTTTCTCCAATTTCAAACAAAGAAGCCGCTTTCCACTAATTGGTTGCTTCTATTTACCAATAGTTGTTATGTCTACCGTTCTATCCGCCGTATAATTAGCTCCTTTTCCATGAAACCCCTCCAACATCCCCTCGATTAATCAAGAATCAAAAAAGAGGCAATCTCAAATTTATAGGGGTGTTTTCGTATAGCCGGCAGATTGAGACAAATATCAATTACATCTGATCCTTGATGAAGTAGGGGAGATCGGCTGAGGGTCGAAGAACCAAAAGGTCTTCCAGCTGTATAAAAACTAATGTTTTAGCGATCAAAATGATTGACGAGAAAGGGAAACATTTTTTTATGTTGTAAATAAAAAATTTTAATTTGAGCGACCGGCAGTCCTTCAATTTTCCCCAAATTTTGCATCGATACTTCGTATATGAGATGTGTCAAGTTCTAAAAATATCAGCATGCGGTTTGCACTAGGAGCTGAGATATTAGGCAATCATTTTTCCGAGAGACCACACAAAATGCGGAGGGCGACAAAAATAAAAAGACTTTTCGCTTATTCCTCTGCAAATTTAGCTGAAAAAAATTCATTTTTTTCAGAATATTGTACTGCCCACCAGCAGCTAACACTAATTTTTCGAAACCCAAAATCGCAAAAGAAAATTAATTTTGAGGGTTACTGTAACTATAGATTCCGCAAAATTTGATATGAAAATACCCATAAAAGTAGATTAGAAGCCCTAAACTTACATTCACAACAACCTCCTCCAAATAATTTTGCAGGTTATTCGTGATCAACGGCCATTTGTCCTTTCCGATGTTCGCGATGAACCGCTGAAAGTCGGGGCGTCGTTCAAAGACCCTTGAGCAAATCCGATTCCCCAAATCCAAATGGGGGTTCTCGAAGCAGGTGCGCACGATTTCTCGGCCCGAGGGACTTAGGGGATGCGTCGGATCCAAGCGGCGAAACGATTTCTGTCGACACATGGAGGGGTAGATTGAGGTGGCAGCAAATTTACTGTTCATTAACGTGGCGGTTACACTGAAAATTGGATTTGAGATTTGTGCATAGACTGAAAGAAAATTTTCGAAAATTACTGCTACCTATAGACTATAGAAAATGAGGTTAGAGGTTAGAGAAAAAAAACTTTTCGTTCATATCGTCGATGACTTTTGTTTGGGAAAACGAAGTTTTAGTGGAAATTGCAACACTCAGCTTTTCATGAATCCTGGCACAAATCTAGATTCTTATTTTTCAAAGCAAATGCGAGATTTCTAGCTCGTGCTTTGCAGAAGCATCTGATTTTTTAGTCCAAAACTTTTGGTAGAAATTCTATATGTTTCATGGAACTTTTATGTATGAAAGATTTCAGACTGATTTCTACCGGACGGATTAACTTTTCTACAAAAAAAAATCAAGCTTCTCCATGCGAAATGAGTAGAGAATGTCCAAAAATTATGTTTCTCTATCACTGCCTTTTGAATTTTGCATATTCTATGGGCGAGAAAAATCGGCGAGAACATTATATCATGTCTGCAAAGCGCGTTTTTTTTTGTTTTTTTTTGCGGTTTATGTGTCAATCGTAGGGTAAAATACGTCGGCTATGTTATATCGACCGGTTGATCTCCTAACAAATCCATGAAGTTTCTATTAAAAAAGTAGTTAAAAATCGTCATAAAGATTGTTCGGAAGTCATAGCGGATGGTTGGTCTAGCCATCTGGCATAAATTTAAAACAGGTTTGAAATAATTTTGATTAATTTCAATTTATCGGCCTTTTAAACATTTTTTTATATTTTTTGAGGCAAAAAAATACAATTGGGAATTTTTTTATTTGTTGATCTATAAAAAATCTTAAAAATTTTATTGTTTCTCAATTTGTAAATTGAAAAAAATCCAAAAAAATACAATTTTCTAATTGGTGTTTTTTCATCCATCTTGTTGACTTTTTGATCCGAAATTAATCAATTTGCCGGCTGTTCTAGGCTTGGAAAAACCACTGTTTCTCCCATCGCATCAGTTGGAAAATGTTCGCATTGACGCAAACCCGAAAATAAATTGTTTTTGGGCCGGAATCGACGAGGATCCGGCCCAGACTTGCAATTACCAAAGGGCGTGGCCTAGGTCTAAGAATAGGACCGTAAGTTGTTTTGCAAAGTAGTTTTCAAGCGGTTTTTGAAGAAATTTTGAAAAAAAACTGCTTGAGAAAACGGCAAAAATCCGAAAAATCGATTGATTTAAAACACCAGAAGCATGGTAAAATCAAATATTTCCAAAAAATTTTTTAATCTTAGAAATAAAAATTTTTAAAATACGTCCTAAGTAGGCCATACCTCTAATTTCAAATTTAACTATTTTTTAATGATGATCTTTTTTCGAAAGTGCGATGATTAAACGGTAAAATGACTACATGTTTTTTATCACAACAGTTTTTTTTCTCATCATTGCAAATCCCTTGAAAATCTGCTTTGGAAAAAAAGATAAAAGGGATTAGTAAAAAGGGATTAGGAACGTAAGATTATTCACAGAGTTAATGTAAACATGTAGATTTGAGTTTATAATTTGCTTTACTTTTTCCGTGATGATGGAAAATATGGAACCAAATTTTAAAGGCTAAAAATTTCGCTGTGCGAAAAAAATTTTTTGCACAGTGCGAAATTTTTTAAATTTTTTGAGATATTATGGAATTTTTGAAAAATTTTTAAAAATTGAAATTCGTAAAATACGATAACTGACACAATGATGAAACATTTTAAAACTCTCAGTTTCATTTTTTTTTCAATTTTTCATTATTTTCCTCAAACTTACTCAGCTTCGGACCCATCGCTCGACCCATTGCCCTGAGGCGTTAACAGTCGGATCGACCCTTGCTGACTCAACCCACTCGCATTGCTCTTCTTCCTCAGCTCGTACATGGAATGACTCTTCTGAATATCCTCATGTTTCGTCTCTTCCGTACCCGTCAACTGCGACGACAGCGTGTTTTTGACGGGGATTTTGGCGGACAGTCGGTTATTTGAGGGAACTCGGACTGATCTGGAGGTACGACGGAGTTTCGGGTCTTCCCTGAACGTGGATGAGGACTTTCTGAGGGTCAGGCCACCCGACGACGACGAGTTGCCCATCCTGCAAAGGAAAAATTGGGAAATTATATTGTACTAGATATCTGATGGACGTATAAGAAGAAAAGCTCGATAATTCGAATATTTTCGCGCCGATTGAGCTCAAGTTTAGCATAGAGGATCTACAGGAGACTAGCAATATATACAAGACGTAAAATGCCGAATTCAAAAAAAATTTCTGCTAAAAAATGAAACTTTTAGAATAAAAAATGATTGTTCGAAACAACCAGATTTTGGGTCCAAAATTAAAATTCAATTTTTCGGATTTATTTCATGTTTGAAAAATTGCGAATTTTCGATGGCAAATGTACGCAAGAGGAGGAGGACAAGTCAGAAAAGATTGGGATTCATTAATATTCGATAAGTTCCGAGATCGTCAGGATTTATGGGACACATGTTGAGCAGAAAAGCGCATTTAACTATAAATAACGAGGGTTTTATAAAGTATTACAAAAAAAAAAAATAAATTGAAAAAAGTAATAATTTTTATTTTTTCGATTTTTTATTTATAGAAAATATAAAAAATTTAATTTTAATTTTCTTAAAAATTTTTTAGTCATCAAAAAATCAAAAAAAAATTTTTTTAATTATTTTTCGAATTTCCAAAAAACCCCAAACACAACAAAATTTCTCCCCAGTCACCTAAAACATGGTCTGTTTCTAGAACCAATTACCTCCTGTCCAATTGTCGCATCGTCTCGAGCGCTGACGACATCAAATAGACATTAGAAAACTCTCGAGCATGCTTTCCATCAAAAAAGACAAGACGAAGCACCTCAAAAAACGGTGATCGCTGGTCGAAAAAAGTTCAATGCAATTGTGAACGGGCTTAGTTTGGATTAAGCGAAAAACGTGTGGATATCGAGGGGGATTGGCCAGAAATGATATTATACTTGGTCATGAGGGATATTTACAAAAAAATGACAGTTTACTGGAAAAATTCATCAATGATAACATTTGTATGGATATTGTAAGTAGAAAGCACAACAACTATAATTCTCAAGGACCACTAGGAAATCAGGGCGGTTGTTAAAAAAAGATACGACCAAAATTTATGTTGTAGCAGACACTTCAAAAGATTTTGATAAAACTAAAAAAATATCAAAATAAAAATTGTAGAATGTGAAATTCTAAGTCCACAATGAAGTTGACTTCATGATAAATCAAACTCTCGAAAGAAATACCTAGGCTTCAAAAAGTTATAGCCTAAAATTTATGTTATACTAGATATCAATTAGTTATTTTGAGAAAACTTGATATAAAACTTCATTCATGACCATATATGTGAAAAATTCTTGGTTAATAATGCTGACTGTCGTTCTAGCAATATTTTACAGCCAAAACGAATCCTTCTACTAAGAGCAACATCTTTAAAAATAAAGTTTTCTTTGATTCCCTACGATTTACCTGTCAAACATTGGATTGCAAAATAAATCAAAGAAAGCACCGTAAGCCCCTGAGAAAACAAGTTTCTACAAAGATACTAAAAGTTTCTTTCCAAGACGAGACTAATGCACAAGGTTACTTGCACACTTCCCATTCGAAAGCGGCTTCCTTATCAGGGGAAACGTGCCGGCGCCGCCCGTCTCGTGCTCCCCGAAATGTGCTCGATCCGGCATAACAATGAAGATCGGAATTGAATTAGAAGAGACACTCCACCGTTCGCTCCCCTGAGGCCATATGGCCTTGGGAAGGGGCGAATAAATCGCACCTTGGGCCGGGCTTTTTTGTTTCCAAACAAACGTTGTTGTTTCGGAAACTTGCAGAGAAATGACTGTAAGTGACTTGAAATAACCCCCGAAACGTCATGTGTTATGAGCAGTACTTCTTGTTTTCCTGATCTATGATTAGCTATAGCGAAATTAAAGGGTAAATCAAAGGTTAACGAAAGCAAATTACATGTTTTATATCATAGAACAAAAAACAAGATTGTAAAAGACCTTAGACAGTAATTGCCGCGTAATGAAGTTGAGCTTAGTTGAAGTGCAGAGTGTTTTGAAGTTTCTTTGACATTACTATTCAAGCCATTCGCCGAAATAAGGCGGGTTTTGAAAGAAATTGTAAGCTAATCCAGTTGCAGTCAGTGTAGAATACTCTTAAGACACAAAATTGTAAAAATAAAAAGGAGTGTCAAGTATAGGCTGGATGCGAAGAGGGCACCCGGGTGGAAAGGGCACCTTGAGAAAGAGTGAACGTTGACAAAAAAAATAAAGTAGGGGGAAATGAAGGCGGGTAGGAATATTCTTCCATAAAAATACTTGCGGCAAAAAAAATGCTTTAAAAATACTCAAAAGTCCCCTTTATACTCCCATTTTTCGACAAAACCAGAAAAAAAAATTAAAATCCTCCTTACGAGGGAAGTACCCCAAGCGCGACGCTCAGATTTTTTAAAATTTTGCACACATATCGGTCAGGAACTAAATATCAATTCCTGAAAGTTTTAACGTGCGCTTTGCAAGCGCCGCCGAGAGAGTGCGCTAAACGCGGAGAGTGGTCAGACAGAAGTTATGATCAACACTTTTTGATCATAACTTCGCTAGTTTCGTGCCAAGAAAATTGATTTTTTGTGGAAACATTACCCTCTATAGTAGAAATAGGCATGAAACTTCTCTTGCCGAAATTCGACAAAAAATGTCAAATTTTCGCCAACTTTCGATCTAAAAATCTCAGCTGTTTCTGCAAAGCGCGAGCTAGGATTCTCGCATTTATTTTAGAAAGAATTATTCTAAATTTGTGCCAGTTTTCATCAAAATCTATGTGTCGCACTTGGGCTACTTCCCCTGTTAGTCTCCCTTTATCATATCTTTTTTTTATAAACGTACTCTTCCCTCAAGTTGCCATCTTTGCCCTGGTACCCTCTTCCTCAAATCCCCTCTTCGTAGCAAATCTCAAGCATACATATAAGAATATATTCCCGAGATAATCTACAGAATGAATTTCCGAACTTGAAAACCGCCTCAAAAACAAACATTTGAACAACAAGCACTGCAATTAAACTCATGTCCGGAAGACCCCACGCTTTTTTAAAATCAGCAAAAACTGCGGACTGTTTGGTTTGTCGGATTTTTAGAGATCAGGACGGTCAAAGTTTTATCGTAAACTAACGAAGAGACAAGCTTGACGCAAACCTCGCGGCTTACAAGTGCTGTTATTCTCCAAGGCTGCAAATCTGCGGAGAAAACTATATTTTTAGATGGAAAACAAAAGGGGTTTTACGACAGCGTCAAAACGTATGTTGGATTCAGAATGGTGCTTAACCCGTGACGCATTAGATGAGCAATGAACATTAAAATTGCAAGTTAAGTATAGAGTACAATAAAAAGGACGTACGTAGAGTCAATGTACAAGAAGTAATAATAGTGTGCTTCATCTAAGGTTAACAATTTCTAGAGATGGCGCCATATTTTCTCGTCCTGCCACACCTAATTTTCCATGCTCTCTCGACTGCAATGACTACAGTGGGGGACCTGATCCAGTAGCAAGAAATGTACCATTTTGCATCCGGGAAGTATCAAAAATGTGGCAAAATGCTTCCTCCCCAAGTGAAAGAACTTCCCTCACAGAAAGAACGGTCGCGCTTTTGAAATCTGAGTTTTTTCACTTGGAGAAGGAGGTATTTTGCCACATTTTTTGATGCCTCCTGGATGTAAAATGGTACGTTTTTTGCCACTGGATCAGATCCCCCACTGTAATCATTATCACGAATTCATGCCGAGCAAAGGTAAAAAAAGTTATTCTTAAAGAACCTTCCATTGTACGGACGTCTACTTTTTCATAAAATTGACTCCTGTGATCGCCCAAAATGTCCATTGTAGACAGATTTCGTCATACCGCAAGTCATTGTAGAGATCCCATTTTACAAACAAAGCTTCATTGTGTTGAATAAAACCACAAAACACAGACACCAATCCAGACAGGCTATTGATGAAAAAGTGGGACCCAAATTAGTCTATGGCCAACAACATCCTATTATATATACTGCAAATAACTGTAAGTCTTCGTGGGAATTCGGCTGCATTGTGACGAAAAGAGGGATTAAATATGGACTGAATCTGCGTAGATAGCGAAAGCAATCCCGACATATAAGAAATATTTATGGACGTGTACTAAAAAGGAAATCCTGTAATTGAGAAGGATTTTTAAGCGTTGAACAGGCTTAAGAGATGATTAGCCTGCAATTATAAGGCTCTTGAGTCATTGTTATGCCACTCAAAGAGAGCCAAGACCCAAAATTTATTCCGGAGTGCTCTTTTCGTCCAAAATACCGATCTTAAGCCACTCTTCGACCCTGTTTTTTGTCGATCCGGGACTTATAATATTTTTTGGTACTTCTCTTAAAATTACGTTGCCTCCTGAAACTGCCAAGCACTTCTAACCCCATGTTTATAAACCCTTCCAAAGTGATTTAAGTGCATAATCATTTTCCGCCATTTTTAGGTAATGGATGTTGACATCCCATAAGTTCAGTCACGTTTTTCCAATTTTTTAGCGTTGCAAACTCATTAACGACAAACTCGCGTACAGTAGGAAGATTTGGGCTAAAAATAGAAGTGAGAAGACCATTTTCAGCGATGATTGTCTATAAAAATTCTAGCGTCTACAGTTTATAAATTATAAAATAACTAATCCTCCATTTGAATTCCGCATTCGGACTTCCAATAAAAAAAATGTGACACTGAGCTGCATAAATATTTGCGTAATTGTTTCCCATCTTTGGAAGTCATAGAACGGGTGGGGAATTCTAATTTCTCCTCGCTTCCGAAGATGTGAGGAAAAGCGCACGACAAAAACTAATTAAATATCCGCGGAGAGACTAAAGAAACCCAGGACAACATAAATATTGTGCTCAAGAGTTTCGTCGTCAGAATTGTAGCCGCTTTTGCATCATTAGGCTCTTTGAATAACATGTACGGCGTTGACAGCGAGTGGTTGCTACGTGGGGATGGGTAGGTTCAAGAGAGAAAATACGAAACAAAGGTTCGGTACAAAAAAATTATTGTTTT